CCATGCATATTTTAAAATTGCAAATAGCTGTTTTTGAAAGTGGGGGGAGAGATGCTGATAATAGCAAGAATCTTTGAAGATAAGGGAGTTACTTAATCTTCTCTTCCCTTGTCACAGATCAGAGGAAAAATACTCTTTTGAGCTGCTGTTTGCATTGAGAGGACATTTTTTGTTGTCAATTAATTTTTTGTTACATGTATGTTACACACAAAGGCAATTTAGCATCATAGAGTATTTGGTCCTGTTTGCAGAATTGTGAAAGAGGTAGAATCTTGTTTAAATACCAAAGAGCCTATATGAATATTGTCCTCATTTACAATTTCTTGTGAGAGAGACTTTTTCCCCCCCAAATGACTAGTGGACATGAGTGCTGAATCAAGGGATGGAAAGAAGGTGATTAACTTCTGTGGTCAGATAGGAGACAAGTGAAGGAAAACAGATATGGTAGCTGTTTAAGCATTGATGGAAGAAAATATAGAGGCATCACTAGAAAAGAGGACCCTAATTTGTGTAGAATCCACTTATGCTAATCTAGGGTTCAAGTTCTTAGATGAATGTTACAATTTAAATTAAAATCAGGTACAGCTCAATGAAACAAGGAATATTGCGCCTTCTAAGTCTCCTGTTCCTATGCTGTTGTTGAACCACTGCATGGCTCCTGCTCTATTTTTATGTTTCTTTATCTTTGAACAGTACTTTGATTGCTCAGCCCTTCAAATAAAAAACCATTACAAATGGGAAGGGTCCGTCTATAAAGTAGTTTGCAGAACATAATAATGGTGGTTGTTTGTGAAAAAGGCTGTTTTAAAAATGCATCCCCAAACTAGAATGTTGTATTCTCTGTATTACAGTACAAGTGAAGTGCCCTGATTAATACAGTATACAGTTTAGGATAGTACTGTGGTCCTTGTTCAGTGTAGCAGTAGTGTAGCACCTAGTGTTGAGTCAGAATTATGGCAGGTGTTGACAAAATTGGGAAGGGAGAATGTAGCTGTAAATGATAATCTCTGGGTTATTCTGTGAAGATTCCCCAGCATACAGTAAACTTGAAACGCTCTGTTTTTATATGCCTGAACATACAAAATATTTGAAAGTTCTGGCCACTATCCAGAGAGAATACATGTGAGAAACACAGACAATCTGCCAGAATTCTGCATTCACTTTTCTTCTCTTTGTAAACTGCTTGTGGGTTTGGCTACGGAAGTGGCTATAGAGACAAATACAGTTTTCTCCCTGGTGGGTTAATGTATTCTTTGGTATAGAATGTGCTCCCTGATTCCAGCTTTATGTCTAACTGGAAACCAAGCCAAAGTAGAACTTTAAATTTGAAATACACAGGGTCAGACCTCATAAGTCAGGAGTGAGCAATCTTAACATGTAATGGGGCCAGCAATATGTCTGTTCTCCGGCACCTTTATGTGGACTGCATCTTTCTTTTGGACCATGGAGGATCATAGCTTTCATTTAGAAAGAATTATACTAGCATTACTCCATATTTTATGGAGAAATTTAAGAACTTAGTAAGAAGGAAGTTAAAAGCAAATGCATACATGCTCTTTCTTCATCTGTGGCCCTCTATCTGAGTGTTCAAGGTATTTATTTATTAATTTATTCATTTTAATTTATTCGTTTATTCATTTGACTTTTATACAGCCCTTCTGGCTGCCAAGGCCACTCTTTAAAGCAGGGGTCCCCAACTCCTGGTACGCAGCTCAGCGCCAGTCCGTGGCTATGGCAGGGCTGGGCCACAGAGACAGATCTCCCACCACCCCGCATGCACTCTCCCACCCACCTTTCAGCGCCAGTCCGTGGCCATGGCAGGGCTGGGCCGCAGAAACAGATCTCCCGCCACCCCGCATGCACTCTCCCACCCACCTTAACCACACGTACATCCCGCCACCTGCACCCACGGGTGCCCCTCCCCTCCACAAGCACCCCCATCCCTTCATGCATGCACGCATGCACGCCTAGGCAAGATGGACAAAGTGTCCAAGACAGCTGACTATGTCTTTCCTATCTTCTTTAGCCTTTGACTTGGGATTTATTTGTAAGGAAGACGGCTTAGAGGAAAACTGTGGGCTAAGCTTTAATGTCAATGTCAAATGGTCAAAAGCATTGTGGATTTATTTAGTATATTGAACTTTTAAAATGTACTTCATTAGGTAATCTAGCATTTTCCAAGAGTCTGAGGCTTCTTGTTAAAGAAGACAGAAACAAACTATTTTCTTGCTGCTTCATTACGCAGATTTGAGGAAGACCTTTTTAAAAGTCCTGCCATGTCCATTTTTATTTGGTCTGTTGGCCACTAGTTAGAGTCTCTATACTCTTTGCATCATCTTCCAAGCACGATCTGTAACAATATTTTCTTTGGAGAGAGACAAAAGTTCTCCCCCCCCCCCTTGTAATATCTGCCTACAACCGGTGTAATTGTGGGCTCTGAGGAGGTGAATTAAGAAGTCCACTTGTTCAAGTGCTCCACTAAATATCCGTTGATATATATAAGGCAGCTTCTTCCACAAGTAGTTTGGTTTTTAAGCTTACTTACAAACTCTGTAGGCATATCTGCATTCAATTAAAGTTGTTTCATGTTTTGGAGTCTTCAGCAAACAAAACAGTTAGGCTGATTTTTAAAAAAGGAAACTTCAGAGTCGTCTTGTCTGCTTATGTCATCCCATATTTTCCTCCTAGCAATTATCGATAGAATTCCCAACTTATTTGTGTGCATGAGCAACACAGTTAGGAACATGTTGATTTCTTGGCAGCAACCTATACAAGCATAAGACAACTCTCTTTTTTTAAGGTAGGTTGGTCTGCCCATGGAGGTCTTTGTTTGCAGAGGTAATGTTGCTTTCCCCATAGTACAAGGAAATCCTCATTTTAATGGAGCTGTTACGTGTCTTACTTGCACAACTAATGTCATGCTCACAATTTTAACTGTGGGGAGTATATAATTGGCTATGTGTACAGTTTGGCAGTTTATTCACTTCTCAAAGAATTCTGCTTTTGACCTTTTTGTTTTTTCAGTGCTATTAGCTATGTAGAGCATGCCCTCTAGTGTCTCATTGAAATACAACCTCTTCCATATATGTTATTTCTTTTTTTTTTAGTCAAGCAATCAGAATGAAAGATTCATGGGTGCAACACCATGGATACATCATGCAACATGTATCTTTATATCTTTCTCTTTTTATTATAGAGTTCATAGATACTGCAAATTTCATGCCATCCAGAACATTTACTGAGTAGGTAAAGATTCCCCTTGACATTTAGTACAATAGTGCCCGACTCTGGGGCGTGGTGCTCATCCCCGTCTCCAAGCCATAGAGCCAGCATTTGTCCAAAGACAGTTTCCATGGTCACGTGGCCAGCGCGACTAGTCACAGAATGCCGTTACCTTCCCATCGTGGTGGTACCTATTTATCTACTTGCATTTTTACATGCTTTTGAACTCCTAGGTTGGCAGGAGCTAGGACAAGCGACGTGAGCTCACTCTGTCACTCACTCCGTCACTGGCTCTGGTTTTTTTGTTTCTTTTTAAATCTCATGTCTTCCCCATTACTGATTAGGTAGGGATAAATCTGCCAGTTTGACTGGCTCTGATTTTTTTTTCTTTTTAAATCTCATGTCTTCCCCATTGGATCTGTGATGAAATTAGAATGAACTGGCAAGTTTTTATCTGATATAGGTGGAAAACATCCCAAACTTCTTCACTATCTAAATCCAATAGCTGTAGCTAGTCCTAGTACAGAGAGGATTGTATTGTACCTGCCTGCTATGCAGCCCTGAAAAGATAATGAGACTGTCAGGAAAAAGAAGTGGTGATCCTAATCCAACACCGCAGACATGCTCCATAATGGGATGGTCTGACAGTTTTACTTTTTCTCACATCCAGAGTTGTTGAAATTCCAAATTATTCACCTATGTTAAACATTGTTATCTGTGATTTGCTTCTTGTGCTGGTTGCTTTTAACAACTGCATTGTTAAAAGATTTTGTTGTGTTTTGTATGAGAGGGGTCATAGGACCACCAAATACTTGCCTGATTGACTGACAGGTAACATTTCAAATTCTTATCATCAAAAGTATAGACCAGTTCACGAACTTAAGAATACTGTTGCATTAGATTGAGCCAAATCCCTGCCCTTAAAGGAGTAAAGGAGAAAATCCAGCACATTAGCATCCCTGATAGATGCCCATCCAATATCTGCTTGTGAACCTGTGATGAAGAATGCCCATCCAATATCTGCTTAGGAACCTGTAATCACCTTCCAAGGTACTCTATTCCACTGCCAGAGAACTTGATTGATGGGATATTCTCCCTGATATTTCAGCTGAATTCTGATACTTCAGATTGGTTCAGGCTCTACCCTCTGAAGTAAGAAGACAAATTTTCTGAGTCACAGTTCTTCAACTGAAGATTATGGTCCTATCAGTGTGGTAGAGTGCTGGGCCAAAAATCTAGGAGAAGGGGTCATACTCCCCATATGGCCATTAAACTTACTGGGTGACGTTGAGCAAGGCATAGTCTGCCCGCAAGACTGTGTTGAGAACAAATTAGGAAGAAAAAGACTGTACGGCCTCAAGCCCACTGAAAGAAAAGTGGGCTATAAATGTAACTACATGGATATATGGTTTGTGTTATCAGTATTTGCCTTATGGACTATATACATTTACTGGGTTGTCAGTTCCACTGCTCTGAGTGGGAGTTGTCTTTGAGTAAATATGTATACTGTTGTGATAATGTTGCTGTGTTTGACTTTTTCAACTTTGGTAAGACACACTTTGTACCGATTTAGTGTTACAGTAGATGGGAAAGTAAAGCTGTGAAGTTTAATTTTACACAAAAAATCCTTTTGGCAACTATATTGTTTTGCTATTTTCAGTTGATATTAGCCCCTAATACTTGGTGGGCCTAATATTTCAGGCACCTAGTATCAGCTGAAAATACTGTTTTACTCTGACATTATCGATACAGGTTATTTTCTTAATCTGACATTGCAGCTCCTTTAAGATTTTATGTATCGCCTATGAAGTTCTGGAGGGCTTGGAGTATATGAACAAGCATGGAATTGTTCACCGGGCTCTCTCACCGCACAACATCCTTATGGATCAAGAGGTAAGGCTGGAGATGTAAATATTGGTATAACATAATATTTTTGAATATCCAGTGCTGTTCACTGAATATAAAGTGGTTTCAGTGCTGCATTCTATACACTGCTGGTTTGTGCTAGCCATGGCAGAAAAGATTTACCTTCTCCTTTTGCTACATGAATCTATGGGGTGCTGAGCAACTTGTGAATCATTTCAGGGCTTTCTGACTGCTACAGCCAGTTCAAGAATTGATTGCAGTAGTGGTCAGTCTGTTGGAACATGGCATTGATCTCCAGCATGGTGGATCTACCACTGTGTACTGGCAGAGCAACATCTTCATGACAGATCCTAATCCTTTACAGCCATCTTTCGTGAGATGGTAGTATTCTAAGAGGTTGAAATAGGACAAGAGTCTTTTAAATTCATGGAACTGCATAATCTACATACACAATTTTATCCAAGAAGCATAGAATCCTTTCCATGGCACTATATAAGTTTTAATGCATTTAAATGTTTTATTTCTAATGAAAACATAAGTCTCCAGCCCTTATGAAAGACACAAAAATTTCACACATTTGAGATTAAGGGCCATACATATTTTTTTTAAAAGATGCAAAAGGGTATTTTCTTTAGCAACACACTTAGAAAGGTTTACAGCATTCTGATATAAGTTTTATTAGGGCATTTTAAATATACATTTGTTCACTTTAAGGATTTTTACCTGTTTTGCATTCAGAGCAGCTTATGTTCATTGAGAACAATAATATGTCATAAAGCAGTAGGCAGTTGAAAGAGGCAGCATTGGTTTAAATTTGCTCCTGTTTCTCCTGTCCATAAGATGTGTCTATGTAGGACGAGTCCATTCATAGGTTACTAGAGCAACAGCAGATGGAGATGGTGCTGTAGGTAAATTTAAGTGGCATTGTGCAATAAATATTCTTCTAAATTAGCATAACAAATAGGATAGCTCAGGTTCTGGCTAGCCAACACTATCCTCCTATTTAAGTTCAAGACCTAAGATCTGCTGACAGAACTGAAACCATCAAGATAATTAGACAAGAAGATGATCCACTTTGCTTCCTTGCAGCCCCTTATGACTCTAAAAATCTGCTCTGGGATGCTGAGAAAACATGCAGAGTTGGTTTCCAGGTGGACAGTGGGGGAAGCAGTTGAGAAGATGTATTTGGAGGCCAAGGTTCTACAGATGTTGACATTCTGAAAGCAGAAACAAGGCTAACTGTTGTTCAGAATTAGAATATATAGTATCAAGGGATATCTTACTTCCAGGAAGTGGTTTCACCATCATATTTTCGTCATAAGAAGTTTGGTTTAAAAAGTTGATTGTTTTCTGTCTATATGATATAAAACTTCGTTTTTAAGCTTCGTCCATTTCTTTTTCTTTTTAACAGGGACATATCAAATTGTCTAAATTTGGCCTTTACCACATGACAGGTTACGGTGCTGATGTTGACTTTCCTATAGGGTAAGTTATACTGCACAAGATACTTTGAATAGGGAAAATGAAAAAAGAATTGCCAGGAAAAACAAGACTATTTTGTCCTTGTTATATGTTAGCAGTGTGTCTTTTCAACCTAATGCCAGCTGAAATCCTGTTGAGTAACTAAGCTTGCATAACTTGACCTACACAAGCAATAGTGCCTGTTGTACTAAGACAGAAGTGCCATTCACAAGTCATTTCTGCAGACATATTGCATAGTCAGTCAAAATGGGAACCACATAACTGATGGTGCCTTGGTGAAATGCTTTGCACATTTATTGCGGCATTATGTTTTGTCGTGCGTAGACAAATAGAACTCTGGTTATTGTCTTGTGTGTTTGTGTGTGTGTGTGTGTTGGGGGGTGTTTAAAGGCAATACTCCTAGACTTTGGAACTCTCTCTTACAAGAGGTTAGGCTAGCTCCATCTTTGCTATCCTTCTGTGAGATGGTGAAGATCTTTCTCTTCAGGCAGCTTTCCTTCAGTGACTTGACTGCTTGGGTTGTTATACCGATTGCTCTTGTTATACCGATTGCTTTTCTTACTCGTTTGAATGCGTTTTTTGTGTTCTTTTGGTTTACTCTGTTGCAGTGTGGCATTTGACCCTTTCTAGTATTTTTATACGTAGTGTTTTTAGTTTTAAATATTATCTTTTGATTAGGTAATACTCTTTGGGTCATTTTAAGGAAAAAGGCAGGGTAAAAATGTTATACACACACACGCTATTCCATTTCTCTGCAGTGTCTCTAAAAGATTTAAGCTACAAGTAGATTTAAGCTGTAAACGATACATTATTTTAATGAGGTTGCATTTCACTAAGGGAGAAAAATACTTATTTTCAGGGATTAGCCCTGTAGGCGTACCACTGATTTAATTATTGTTCTATTACCATAGGTATCCATCATATTTGGCACCAGAAGTAATAGCACAGGGGATTATCAAATCTAGTGACCATATACAAAGTGAAAGGCTTCTACCTTCAGGTCCAAAATCTGATGTGTGGTCCCTTGGTGTTATCTTATTTGAACTATGTGTGGTAGGTAACTTGATTTTACGCATATAGGTTATAAAATCGTTTTTGAGCCAAAATATCTTTATATAAACATTCATGTATTCCACGTATGTCCCGTTTCTTAAAGTTGTCTTGTGTAAGAAAAACGGGGATGAGCAGACTATGACAACACATTATAAAAAGTAATAAAGAATAGTGTTTGTTTTATTAGAGCACTATGGAAGAAAAATGCAATGAATGTTTAACATTATAACAAGCAGGGCAGATTTCAGTGAAGAGCAGAGTTAAATGCATTCATAGGGGGAAATTGTTCTCTCTTCCCATTGTGTTACATGCAAGAATAAAGGGGGTGCTGGTAAGGAGCCTTTCCCAGAAAAAATTGAGCTAGGAAGCTATAAATTGCAGGGTGTATTGGCCAATTTGTCTGTATTCAGTGGTGCAAAACTCAACTACCTATGATTTTAACTTATCTTTCATGTTCAGGTCCAAAGTGAACATGGCAGCCCCTCCAGAAAAGTTCAGTGTGGAAGAGCATAGGACCATAATCAAGTTCCTGTTTCTCCAAAGGAAAGGTGCAAAGCAGATCCATGATGAAATGTCATAAACTATGGGTGACAGTGGTCCTTCATATGCAACAGTTAAACATTGGGTTGTCAATTTAAAAACTGACCATTTTGTTGTTGAAAATTAAAAACCCAGTGGAAGGCCTGTTTCTGTCTCTGTGCCTGCAAATGTGAAAGCCATCCATTACATGATCATGGAGGACCACCAAATATCAGCCAAAAGTATTGCTATATATCTGAGAATATCAGATATATAGCAACAATTTGGAAATGAGAAAGCTGGCAGCAAAGTGGATGCCCAAACTTTTGACAGCTGAACAAAAGAAGAAACATGTGGAGTCATTGCTGGCTGTTTTGGAACATTTTGCAAGAAATGAGTCCGATTTCCTGGGCAAACTGGTAACTGGTGAGGAGACATGGATCTACTGTTATGATCCTGAGACAAAGCAACAGTCTAAGGAATGGAGGCACAGTGGTTCCCCCAGGCCAAAGAAATTTCGAGTGCAAAGGTTGGTGCAGAAGTAAATGGCAACAGTTTTTTTGGGATAGGAAGGGAGTTCTGCTGGTGGACTACCTCCAACAAGGTTCAGCCATCAATGCAAAATATTATTGTGCTTTATTGACGAAGTTGAGGCAAAACATCAAGGAAAAACATCGAGGAAAGCTCTCCAAAGGTGTCATCCTGTTGCATGACAACGCCTCGTCACACACTGCAGGTGAAACAATGGCAAAAGTGACGTCCTTAGGCTTTCAAGTGATGCCCCATCCACCCTATTCTCCCAACCTGGCTCCTTCTGACTATTATCTGTTCCCCAAACTCAAAAAACACCTAAAGGGAGAACGATTTGGGAGTGTTCTGGAGGCAACTAATGCTGCAAATGAGTAGTTACACCAACAGTGGGAAGAATGTTATTTGCAGGAACTTAAGAAGCTGCAGGACAGATGGCGCAAGTGCATTAACTTCCTGGGGGAATATGTAGAATAGTTTGGCAGTTACAGCTTCCTAACTCATTTTTTTCTGGGAAAGGCTTAATACTTATCAGCACCCCCTCATATTATAATGTCATCCTGGCAATTGCTTGATTCTAACAAAGCTATCTCACAACTGTGGCTATAGCCAAGTGTTACCTGATGCTGCTCATAATGACTTTGAAGTTGTTATGGAAATCTCCAGTGGATATGCACCTGTTGCTTAAGTCAGTGAAAATAACACACTATTATGGAAATCTCTGTTACTGAAAGAGTTAAGTGCATACAATGGTCATGCGTTTACTTTATAATGATGGTTCATTAATCACATATCTTAATGTTGCCTTCAGGGCAGAAAGCTGTTCCAGAGTTTGGATTTAGCTGAAAGACTCAAACTAATACTTAATCTTGGTGAGTAATGCAAAAATAACTGCTGGGCATGAGGTCTTTATAAAATCCCAAATGAATCCAAGGTCATATTGCTGATTTGGGGATGTTTCCAGTGCATTGTAACTTATATTAAATTATTTATCCATTGAAGAGCAGAGGAGCACAATCAGTAATACTGTTAAATGGAAATGATAAAGATTTAAAAAATGACAAATTGACAAACTAAAAATTGCTTTTATTCTTCTAGCATAATAATACAGCATATCGTACAGCAAATCGTTTGCAAATATTGTCCTTCCCAAGTTTCCTGAGTGAGCCTACCATTTGGTATACAGAGGCAGCTGCTTCTGACACCAATGCGGGGAGGTAGCAACATCAGCCCTGAATGTTCCCTGTGATGGAGGACAGAACTGAATATGTTGTAATATACCCAGTTCTACTCCTGCCACATACTATTCTGCTGCATTTGTTGGGGTGAAGGACATTATCCCAGCGGGAGTGTAAACGGAAGATTTAGTTGCCAACTTAGTTGGCTTCTGTGCATAGAACTCTAGTTTGAACAGGTTTTTGCCTCAGGGAGTTAAAATTATTGGGCTGCCCCTGCATGTTAATAACAGTTGTTCCTCCTGTCATTGTTACTTACAGGATGTGTGGATGATATCCTAACAGTTCTAGCTGAAGAACATGGTTGTCTGGATATTATTAAGGTATGAATGCATCTAATTCCCTCATTGGCCTAATTATATCCATATAAACTTTCAGAGTACAGTACTGGACTTCTTTCTTGAAATATCACATTGAAATTCTATGGGTGGGATCCGCATGTGGGTGCAGGAGAGAGGAGCAGATTATATCCATATAAACTAACGATCAGAGTACTGGACTTCTTTCTTGAAATATTGCATTGAAATTTTATGGGTGGAATCCGCATGTGGGTGCAGGAGAGAGGAGCAATGAACTTTCCATTCCTCCCTTCCCAAGAGGAGAGTTACAAGGCCCTGTTGGACAGGATTAGCTGCCGTGTAAGGGCTGAGAGAAAAGAGGAAGATTCTTGGGTAGAGGATGGGCAAATCTGTAGCATATAGAAGCATGGCTAGAGAGGGCTGTTATAAGGATGTCTCTTTCTGCCATGTGAGTCCCACTGCATACATTAACTAGAATCTAGTCATTATCAATTTGCATTACTTTTGTACAGTGGCAAATGTTTTACATTTAGCTAGGATGAGTTAACATAGGGTGCTGTTCATAAGAATTGTACACAGAGGCTATGCTGGTTAGAGGGAGTGGTTATTAGATTTATACTTGCTTTGATGCTATAAGTTGATGTAATTGATCGTTCATTTGTGTTAAACTCAATTTGGTCTGGTAAATGAAATTCATCCTGCTATCTCAAAGTTGCCATGTGGCAACAGTCTTTTGCTCCATGTTACTACTATTGTCCAATACAAGAGGTACCATTTTTGTAAAGTGCTCTAGACTCCTGTTCTTGGTATTCTTTTCTTTGTTCTCTTTTCTCCATTTTGAGAAAGTCCAAGCTACTTGTCGAACATTACTCAAACCCTTACAATACACAAGTTTTGACTGTATATGTCTCTTCATTAGGATGTGCCAGAAAATACTTTAGCTCTGCTGAGGAAATGTCTTACATTCCATCCTTCTAAGCGGTGAGTATATACTTAAAAGCTGTTACTTACCCTTAAAGTAACAGGAAATATACTAGTTAGGCTGCAACAATATGTTCCTACTTACGTTTAGAAAAACTGCCATCACTAGCAATCAAATTTAATTCTTCTAGCTGGTAGTACAATATAGGATCTGTTAACAAAGTTTCCAGTAAAAAAATACGTGCACGTATAGGTGTATGGTCCTGCTATGCTTGGGAACTATATAAGCATTTGTGTACATGTCCTACTATGTTTGGGAACTACATCGGCAGTTTTAGCAGTTCTGCATTTAGCCCTGGGCTGAAAAAGTTGGGGCTCTCCAGATACATCTGGACAGCAATTTCCATTAGCCCCAGTTGGTATGTACAGTAATGATGACCATTTGGAGTTGATGTCCAACAATTTATGGAGGGCCAACTTTCCCTGACTCCAGTTTAGCTCCTCCCTCAGCTATTCCACAAATTATATAGGAGGCCTATCAGGTTGATCGGTTCAATGTACAGTAAGCTAGAAGACATAGCCAGTCATAACTTCCATTTTATTTATTTATTTTATTTATTTATTTATTGCATTTATACGCCGCCCATCTAGACATAGTCTACTCTGGGCGGCTCACAATTTAGAAGATAAAAACAATTTAAAATATACAGTATTACATTAAAAACAAAATGATATAAAATGAAATATAAATTTACGATTTTAACAGTTAATTTAAAGCAAAGAGTCCCAAGATGGCAAGAATAAAAGAAGAAAAATAAGAATGACTTAATTGACTGAAGGGAAGGCCTGCTTGAATAGCCAAGTTTTCAGCTGGCTTTTGAAAATGCCCAGCGAGGGTGCCAGCCGAATTTCAGTGGGGAGGGTGTTCCACAGCCGAGGGGCCACCGCCGAGAAGGCCCAATTTCTTGTTTTAAGATGCATGTCAGTGAGATAATTTGTTTGAAAACAATTTTTTAATCCACACCTACTTCATAAATGACAAATAATATGCAGCCCACTGATCATCAGTGATAGTACCAGGGTTGTGTTTGCTGTGTGGGAGCAGTGATGGGATTTAGTCATACAGAGGTGCCTCACTTAACGACGATAATCCGTTCCAGGAAAATCGCCGTTAAGCGAAAACATCGTAAAACAAAATTAAAAACCCCATTGAAACGCATTGAAACCTGTTCAGTGCTTTCCATTGGGGTAAAAACTCACTGTCCAGCGAAGATCCTCTATACGGCGGCCATTTTCACTGCCTATATAGCGAGGAATCCATCCCTAAACACAGCGGGGAGCCATTTGAAGCACCCAGCAGCCATTTTGTAACCGCCAATCAGCTGTTTAAAAAACCATCGTTCTGCGAGGAATCAGTTCCCGAAACAGGGAACCGATCATTGCAAAGCGAAAAAACCCTATTTAGAACATCGTTTTGCGATCACAATTGCGATCGCAAAAAGATCGTCATACAGCGATTTCATCCTAATGCAGGACAATCGTTAAGCGAGGCACCACTGTATTCCTTTTGCCCATAATCCAGTGTGAAGTGTTGCCCAACAGCTACTTAAGAGCTCAGCTTCCCTTATAGTAAGAAATGACAAACACAACCTTCTTTCTCTGTTAAGAGGGTACTAGATAGAAAAGGAAATCAGTCCTGAAGCTGAAAAACAGTTTATTATGGCCACTTAGTGTATTCTTCTACCAAGGCTTAGAGGACGACTTTATCTAAGAGCCTCTTTGTATATTAAAATCAACCATAATTAACAACTTACACAAGTGATTTATTTGCTTGAGCTGTGGTAAAATAAAACACACAGTGAACGGGGGCACTGAGAAGCTTCCTCTCACTGAAATTGCTGCTTTGTTTGTGTTACGGCTCTCTCTTATGCAGTCTGCCCACACTTTCGTACATGAACCATTCCATGCACAAATAAGCATGTAACATGTTTGCGATTTGACTGGCTGTAAGTAGAAAAGACAACACAACTGGGGGACGTGGTAATGAGTAATATTGTTTTCTTTGCCTTTAATAGCTAATAACTTTACAGTGGAAACAGAAATAGCCAACTGATAGAAATAAGTTTACCTGCATTCTGAAAAGTAGGGGGTTACAGAATAATCACGACTGAATGCTGTGGGACTTACTCCCCTGAAAAGATGCATAGACCTGGAACTGTAAGAGCGAATTTACATAGGACAGCTACGCTATGTAGAATCTCTTAGACAAATAGTAATGCAGTGGTGCCTCGCAAGATGATGTTAATTCGTTCCGCGAAAAACATTATTGTGTGAGACAGCATCTTGCGAAACGTTTTTCTCCACTGGAATGCATTGAGATCTATTTATGTGTTCCAATGGGGAAAAATCATCGTCTTGCGAAAATCATCCATAGAAAACATTGTCTTGCGAAGTGCCACAGCGATCGCAAAAACCAATCGTTTTGCGGATTAATCATCCCACAAGGCACCACTGTACTATTAGACAAATAGTATACTTGAATTTCTAACCTTTCCCCCTAACCTTTCATTTTCAAAGAAAACTGTCATTTTTCTCTCTCCACCTTTTCTTGTTTTCAACTAAAGGCTGACTCCTGACAAGTTACTGAAGGACCCAGTGTTCAGCGAGATATCGTCTTTATACCCTCCCTTCCACAAACCTCCCAGCCTTTTCTCACCCACTCTGCGATGTGCCAACTTAACCCTTCCTGAAGATATTAGTCAGTTGTTTAAAGGTAAAATAGAGCAAAACATCTAAGATCAACATTCTGGACTGAGCTTGGGGGTAAATAGTTACAAACAACTAGTTGTGTTTTTTTCCACAATAAAAGTACAGTATATTGTGGAAAAAAGTACATTGCTGTTGTAATTCATTTGTGTATTCATTGCATTTCTATGCCACCTTTCTCCAGACAGTGGGGCCCAAGGCAGCTCACAAACCATTAAAAGAACAGGAATTAAAAGCAGCACATAAACAGCAAGTAAAACATATTAAACAAAGGATCATGAAAGTCATCATATAAATCAGATTAAGAAATATAAAATGACATTAAAAGGATATATTAGCAGTTGGACGTAGGGTAATAAGCTGTATTAAAGTCAGATATTAAAGGGAAAAAGCCTGTTGGAATAAAAGTGTTACTTTGCCACACTGACCCTAAAAATCAATGTGGGTCACAATGATCATTTTGCCAGAAATCATTTTGCCCTTTTGATTCCTCATAAGAATAGTTTGCAGTCTATTCTCATAAGAATATTGCAGTGTACATATGCCACCTTTAGCTGTATTTTGGGGGTAGTTGAAAGCTGAAATAGCATTAACAAAACTGAAGTAATTGTCATGCAAATATTGAAAAGACAGTGAGAGTGAGCACATGGCACTATGTAGATCTGTATATTTTTTAGAAAGCTCATTGAAGTTTATAAAGAGAAGGAATTCAAATGACCAGGAAATAGATGATTGCTTGTACTTCAATGAATAAAGCTGGTGTGAGATTTTCATTGCTTGTTCTTCAGTGAATAAAACTGTTCTGAGATTTTGTAATCATCATACTTGATTTCATAGTACTGTAATTACATAAAGGCAGGAGTAGCTTTTTGTGCTTAGAAGAGAAACTATAGCTGACTAGGGAACCGATAGAGCCATTATCTCCCTTTATGAGCCTACCTGTGCATTAAGATCATCAGGAGAGACCCTTCTTTTTGGTCCTACCACCTTTGCAGGTGCATTTGGGGGGGAACACAGGAAATAACCTTCTCTGTTGCTGCTCCGAGTCTCTGAAACTCTCTCCCACAGGAAGCCAGGCTGGCCCCATGTTTGCTGTCTTTCCGCAAGCAGACAAAGACCTTTCTCTTCAGACAGGCTTTCCTTTAAATGATGGGTTGACCAAGGGGATTTTAGGGGAATTGTTGTATTCTGTTGTTTTACTTACACTTTTAATATTGCTCTTATTTATAGGTTTTAATATGAAAAGAGTTTAATTCTTTTTAACTACTATAATAATTTATTATTTTCGATTATAACTTTTGTTTTTTTTTATTACTGCGACCTGCCTAAGATTCTTTAGGAGAAAGGTGGCATATAAATATTTTAAATAAATAAAATGGAGTCGGTGTTGACATCTTCATGTAAAAAGAGTTCTAGCCGCAGACCTAAGAGCAGTCTTAGTCCAGCCTTTATCGTAACCTGATGCCCTCTGGATGAAGTTCTCATAGTCCCAAAATCAACATAGCTGAAAGTTAGGAGAGTCGTAGTCCAACACATTTGGAAAACACAAGGTGGGTTAAGGCTGCCTTAACAAGTTCTTACATTTCTCCCACCACTGGAATAGATTGATAAGCTGATTCAGTGAATAGTAACTCTTCATATGTACAATATTGCTACAATTCAAATCAGCCTCCACCCCCCCAACTGATCCTCCTGGTGTTATGTACTACAGCTCCCATTGTAGGTGAATGTTGGCTACATTGAATGGGGATGATGGGAGACAGTGATCCTCTGCATGACAACATGCTGTGAATGGCTATATTAAACTGTGTTTTGGTAGTGATTAAAACTGAACAAGCATAAAACTCTTAAGAAAGACTTGGTGCACATAATGCAATCTATTTTTTATTGCTGCCTTTTCCTATTAAAATGAGAATGAAAAGCATCCTTTAAATAATGAATACAGCATTTGTCAAATGTTTCCCTGGTGTATCTACTCCAGTTTCTCTTTTATGCTCTCAGATCAAGATGGAGACTTTCTGTCACTGTTTTACCTCACTTGTAACAGAGCAATCCCATAGTTTGTCCAGCTGCTTTTGTCTTTTTGGGGATTTTACTTCTAGTGCTTCCAAAGGGAAGATCATTTTATCTCTAATAACATGGTTGGAAGACTTGCTCCTGTTATTCTGTTTCCAGCAGTAGATATGTTTTCAATGCTGGGGGAAAAAATCTTGGAGAGTTGCTGGAAAGTTCATAATACTGTCTTTGTTGGCTTCTGTTAATAGAGGAAACCTCTGATTATCTCGCCGAAAGGTCAATTGAAGAGGTTTATTATCTCTGGTGCTTGGCTGGAGGAGACTTGGAGAAAGAGCTTGTCAACAAAGAAATCATTCATTCCAAGCCACCCATCTGCACTCTTCCTATGTAAGGAATGGAAACCTTCTTTGGGGAATGAAAGTGAGAAAGTAGTATAACAAAGTGAAGTGAAATTGGTTTTAAAGGGGAAAATGGAAGTCTACATTGTTGACTACCATGTAGCACTGTACAGTCAATACTGTGCTAATTTTCTGTATGATTTCAAAACCTGCAACCCCAGTTTTCTAGCCTTAATTTCAGTTGTTACTTCCAACTAGTGTGAACTCACTGAATCAATGCAACTTGCACAACTGTTGATTTACCAAGGTCCCATTGATTCAGTAGGTCTTCTTTAGCTGTGACTCAGTTGAACTTCAGCCCTAATGTGCAAATTCTGTCCCTCATAGAATATTTTACTGTATTTTAATCTATTTGTGTTTAAATATGGGAACATGGTTCATGTTTAACATCTGTTTTTGAATTCAGTCCTACTGTGAAATGTCTTTAGAACAATTTGAGAAAGAAAGAAAGACAGAAAGACAGAAAGAAAGAAAGAAAGAAAGAAAGAAAGAAAGAAAGAAAGAAAGAAAGAAAGAAAGAAAGAAAGAAAGAAAGAAAGAAAGAAAGAAAGTGTATTAACTACTAATGGGTAGAAACCAGATTAGTCATCTTTAGAGTATGCTCTATGAAATACAGTATGTGGGATTTAAATTAGTCATGACTGACAGAAGCCTTAGTGATTTTAGTGGGTGTGCTGTAACTCTGACTAGATCTGATTCCAGTCATCTGCTGGTAAAAGTATTTTATCAATTTCTCATTATTTCCCTATAGGGAAGGAAACAGAAAGAGTTGACATAGTATGATTGCTTTTAGGCAAGGAGCCAATAGATGAGAGTGATGAGGGACATTTGAGTGTACTTATTAAGACCAGGTGTGCCAGCCCATACTCTTATGCTGGACATGGAAGCTTATTTAATTTTTATTTGTTTGCTATGATTATATTCTACCTTTCTTCCAAATTGTTCAAGATAATATATGTGGTCCACCTCTTCCATTTTTATCCTCACAATACCCTGGCATTAAAAAAAATTAAATAACATACAGATTCAGATTCAAATAAATCTGAAAGGAAGCAATAAGAAGGGGAAAACCTCATCAAATAAAAGGTCTTTGCCTGGTGGTCAAAAACATGCCACAGCTGAATCACCACAGTGGGAGTAAATATTGTCTCCTCATTGCTTCTCTCTTCATTTCTCCAAAACCAAAAAATCTTAAGGAAAGGGTTCAGTGATGCCTTCACCATAAATTCAGATTAATTTAAATATATAAAATTGATGAGCTCAGAATGCATTGTTAAAGCTGCTGTAGAAATTTAATATGCTTCAGAATCAATGGTGGCTTTGGGAACTGGATGATCTTAAGGGGAAAAGCTCTCTTGGGGACTTCCATTTCCAAAATCTCATATTCCATGACATTCTGTCTTTAAGTCTTAAACTTTAAGAGATCTTTTAAATGAGATTAAGAGATTCTTTTAAAAGAAGGTGTATTCTCAAGGGATGGCTCACTGGCCCTCTAATGACTCACATTAGTTTTAGTTTGTTAAAATACTAATATTTCTGTTTTTCCATTTCACAGCTTAGTTCAGATAAACTTCATTCCAGTCCCTTCCATATTACGACTAATGAGCTTTATAGAAATGGCAACAGATAAGAGCACTTTCTTTAATTATAGGACAGCAAACTCTCACCAAAATCCCCTGGAAATAAAACAGAAGCATCCATATTCAAAATCAGATAAGGATTGGGGGGCTCACATTGTCTTTTCCCAAAAAACAGCAAGAATTTATGTAAACCAGCCTGCTTCAGACAGTTGCTGCCAGATGTGGGGCCAGGAGTGATCAGCATTATAGTTTGTCCCATCTCAAAGGCTCTACGTTGTCGAATGATGAAATCAGATATAGCAAATGTTAAAACATTTAGAAAAGTCCGTATGTAGTCCTTACATAACACAAACACAAGAACAGATGACACCTTTATTAGACCACTAAAATATCAAATGTATAGCTAGCTTTCAATGTTAATCTATCTTCTTCGGGCTGTGCATCAATATTTTGTGGATAATACGGGGGGGGGGAATGAGGGCCCCCAAAATGCATGGCAGATAGTTGTGCCAGATCTGCTTCTTCTTCAATGTTAATCCATCTTCTTCGGGCTGTGCACCAATATTTTGTGGATAATACTGGGGGGGGGGGGAATGAGAGCCCCGAAAATTCATGGCAGATAGTTGTGCCAGATCTGCTTCTTAAGGTGAATTCAAACACAAACTGCAAAATTCAGTAGGGGTATTGTTTCATACTCCACCCCAGATAGCAGTTGGCTGGATTTCTCACACCAGCTCTTCAAACAATAAATCATCAAATGGTCTACATGTACCACCACTCCACTGCATTGCCTTCTTTTGAAATTCTAGGTTCCTATCTGGATCCTGAAAAGGTAATACAAAAAAGGGGCAGGCCCCCATCAGAGAACTGGGATTAAAATTGTGTCTACCCTTAGGATGGACCACTTCTTTCATACAGTCATCAAGGGATTTATTGTATACTGTGCTTTTATTGTATAATTTGCAATTATCCTTTGATGGGCTGTGAACCGCCCAGAGAATGTTCATATTATTATACATTCAGTCCATCTATTAGTGGTTCAAGCATTGAGCTCAGATTTGGGAAATCCTGGTTTGAGCATCCACTGGACCAGAAAACTAATTAGAAACCTTGGGCAAGTTGCACATTATCTCTTCAGCTTGATAGCATTTTTGTGAAGATAAAAATGAGGAGGAAGAGGGTTACTTGAACTTTTTGAAGAGAAGGTGGGCATATATAAATATATCTGACAATCTAGACAGATGAATTAAGCACTTAAAGATGTGTAAACCATTATTTTTGACATCATTTGTGTCTGTTTTTTAAAGTTTTGTCTTTGAAGATGGTGAGAGTTTTGGACAAGCACGGGATAGAAGCTTCCTTCTGGATGACACAACTGTGACACTCTCATTATGCCAGCTTAGAAATGTAAGACAAAATACATTTCTTGGTACTGGTGTATTTATAAATATGTATGTTTTCTGACAGAGAATGTAACTACTTTGCTGACCGGACCTGTAGTATCTTTCAACATGTAAGGAAGCATTATCTCTTTCTTCCCATCTTTTTCAATTAGAATTTTAGATATACAGTATACAATTAAGAAAATCTTGTCTTAGGTATTTGAGATAATTGTGCATTCAGATTCAGAACTTTCATTTCTTTGTTATTTTTTCTTCTGTAAAACACATATTTGCCTTGACTGGAAGTTGAGGGTAGAGTGCCACTTAAATTGTAATACAAGTTTTGACACTTGTGATGTTCCTAGTAAATGTAAGCACAAAAAAATGAGTTTTTTTTTTTAGAAAATTCAAATTTGTTTCACATATAAAATCATGAAATATTTTTGTTTGGTTTGGTTTTTGCTTGACAATCTTCACTTCCTCATTAAGCCAACTTCAGACACTATCTAACATGGCTATTATGGAGCTTATCATAGCTTAAATCCTTCAGGAAGGAGTGGAATGCAGAGCTACATAAGCCAATAGTTCTCGATGTTTGGCCCTCCCAAGTATTTTGGATTTAAACCTCTAGGCATCCCGGTCAGCAGTTGGAATTCTGGGAGACAAGGTCTGAAACATCTAAAAAACCAGCAGTTGGAAATTTCTGTGTAGCTAAAAATAAATGATCTTAATCATATGAGTTCATTAGGCTTGATTTGCTCTAAACGTATGGAGAAAGAAGAGAAGGTTATTTTCAGAATATCAGGCCAAAATAAAAAAAATCAAAATTAAAGAAGACAAATGTTGTGAGATCTTAAAGATTAACTGCTATATTTTAATGTGAGCTTTTATGAATAAGCCCACTTCCTCAGACCAATCTCTAATACTAAATAATTAATATTAGAGATTGCATACAAATGCTTGTTCTCCCCCCTTTGTTTAATCATGGCACTTTGAATCTTCTGAATGGGGCCTTAAAGCTAAATCCATCTAGAGTAGGCCCATTGAACGAATTAGACTTGCTAAGTTATCAGTGATGTTTTTCCTATTGATTCAGTGGGTCTAGGGAGAACAAACAATTGGACTTAGCCCAAAGCCTTTTTAAAAAAAAAACATATGAGATGTGGGCAAATATGAGAAGCTTCATGTTTAGTCATTGAACAAACTTGAAAGACATTTTTTTGTTTTTTGTTAGTACATAAATGTCTAAATAAGAGTTGACAAGAACAACAACAACACAAGCACCTCTCACTTAACAGCCAAGTTCCGTTCCTATGACTAGGTTGTTAAGCAATTTCCTTGATAAGTGAGATAACAGGTAGACTGTTAAGTGAGGAATGCCTGTAATAATACTAAAAATAATCTTAGAACTTCAGAGCTGGGAGGAACCCTTTGGATCATCGGGTCCAGCCCTTGTCAAAGAAGCCCAGTGGGGAATCAAACTCCCAACCTCTGGCTCCACAGCCAAATACCCAAACCACTGAACACGCAGATTGGAATGCCAGTACTTTCACAATAGAAAAGGATGAACAAGCTAACTACAGATATATTTCTCTTTTGAGGTAATCTAATCTAAATCTTACTAATCTTGCCAAACTTTTCAGTATTAGCAGAAATATTTTATTTCAATCAAGATCCCCCAAGCACAACTCCTAGAATAGATTGTAATCAAAAGAGGATCAGTGCTGTGTGAAGTAGAAGACTTTTAAACGTCACTGCAAAATCCTCAGAGACTGTAGTCCTACACCTTTGAGATGGTTCTGAATTGTATAAAAGCACTGCAAAAATGGTGGCATTAATCTTAATGATTCTGCACTCATGTCTCTGGTTAGCTTAATGTCTTTGGAGCTATATCCAACACAGCATTTACAACTAAAAAGGATCACTTTCACATGAATTACCTGTTGTCTTTCATTTACTATATGAGTATTGATGCCAAGGCATGGGAAAGAAGTAAACATGCAATGATAATTTAATAAGGGCTCTGCTAGTTTATAAGAATACATTTACATATTTTCTATCGGTATTGGAAAAGGTAAGTGAGTTGTTTAAATGAGATTTTACCAGTTTCAACCCCCTCAGTGGGTTTCCGTGACAGAGCCAGAGAATTGAACCCTGGTCTCCTAGTCTATCCATTATGCCACACCAGGTACCTCTTAATAGTGCATTACTAATCCACAATTCTCAATGTCATGAGTACTGCTAAGACTTAGAGATTTAAAAAGTAATCACCAACACTAGTGTGTTCTTAAAAAAAAAAAGACAAGCTCTCTGAACTGCTGGGTGGTGAAGGAGAGGAAGGATAAAAGTGGCTTTCTATTGCTTTAGTATTCTTTTCTGTGATCATAAGAACCTAAGGAACCGAGGTACTCAGGATGGACTACCAGACAAAGAGGAGAATACTGAGGATTACCTAATGAAAAGGGGAAGCACTTCTGTGCTAGGATTCTGTTGAAGTGCTCCTGTCATTACGTGAGGGTAGTCATAATTGAACCATTTTCAAGATATTCCCAATGTTAATGATTAGAGGTGCAGACAAGTTGCTTGATCAGATGCGGAAGCCAGTTAGAGCTTTATAATGTATGCCAGTGATATCCGGAAGAAACTGTATCTTATCTGATTGAAATTATGTCCTAAATTAGTTTGTAGACATCCAGTTGATTTGCGTTGAAAACCCAAAAACAGCTATAAGTTTTTTTGTCTCTGCACTAATATGCATTACATTTGGAAACTTTATAAGTGCTAAAGAGGATTTCAGACAGCTGGCTTCATGGATTTGGATTCCAAGCACCTTTGAAGTTTGCCTTAAAAGAAATAAATCTGAAGTATTTTATGTGCCATCCAATTTGATTTGTGCTCTAGACACAGATGGATCCATACATTTGTTTCACATCTTTTTCCCCCCAGAACTGAATCTCACCATTCCACTTTTATCCTGGCCTCATACAAACCAGTTCTTATGAGATCAGTCTGGTTAATAGTTCAAGATGTGTCCAAATCCAATGCACAACCCTAATAATGGTTATTTTGTTGTGTAAGCTATTTCCTTACTAGTTACTTTAAACACAAAATGTCTTTCTAATCTTGAATCTACAATTTCTCACAGAGGCTGAAAGATGTTGCTGGGGAAGCATTTTACCCATTACTTGAAGATGAGTAAGTATGTAAAATAAGCTGTTTACTTTGTGAAGTTTGAGATCCTTGGTAGCTCTCCCTGTTTCCCAGTAAATTGCCTGGCTGACTTGTAATATGCAAAAATAATAATAAAGAGCAGGAAACAGAGCCCTATGCAGATGTTTAACTCAGGTAGATGTACCATGTGTAGAAGAGAGCACTTTTGTTGCCTACCTTGAGGTGGACAGTGGTGAGTATGAATGGGTATAGCTTCGCTTTCCATAGACAATTAACATACCGTATTTTTTGCTCCATAAGACGCACTTTTCCCTTCAGAAAACTGAGGTGAAAAGTCTGTGTGTCTTATGCAGAAAATACATTGTGTTTGGTTCCCTCTAGTGGTCAGTCTGATGATTACATCTTTTAACAATGCTGATCTGGAAGGACGCTGCCTCAAGCTTGCTGGGACTAGGCAAAATGGTGGTGGCTTAACAAACCCCCCAGTACTGTACTCAGTAGTGCTGATACTACAGGGCAACCGTAGCAGCCCTGTAGGACCAGCGCTGCTTACTGGACAGCCGGATCACGTGACCAGCCCAGATACCGGGGGAAGCAGAGAAAGAGGGGGGAAAGCTCCACCGAGGAAGGGAGAAGACTCATCCAGGTACCGTAAATAACATAATACAGAGGAATTCCTGGCTGGATTGCTGACTGGTGACATTAAGGGGCACATGAGGCATTGTTGGTGAAAAGTAGGATTTGTTTCAGTTGCTCACTGAGTGAAAGGCTTTTAGTTCTTTTGAGACTTGTCATACTATTCAAAGCAACCACTCTAATGGTATTTTAAATAAATAAATGAATTTTTGATACTTTACACTGATGTATTGCACCTTGGGGTGTCTACTTCACTCCCCTAATGGTGAACATAATTCAAAATGTATTATATAAAGTAATAGACCTCCTCACATGGGACCACTCTGCCTATAGAGATACCATACAACTTTATTACGCTTAGGTTCAGAATATTTTTTCCTGTTTTCCTCCTCTAAAAAATAGCTGCGTCTTATGCTGAGGTGCATATTATGGAGCGAAAACGGTAATTTGGAACCTTAATTTTCCAGGTTCCCAACTTCTGTGGAGGATTGCCATAAATAGCGAAACTCTTGTTCTTCAAATTGATCTTACCTAAATAATGCCTACTTAGGGCTCCAATCCATGAAATTTCTATATTCTTTATGTGGCTACTAGTAGACTGGACTTTTGATTGGTAGAAATATTTTTATTTAAAATCGTTGATCCATTTTTGGTTCTGCATCAGTAGAATTTGACCTGGAACAGAGATCAGCTCAATGTACTGTTGCTTCTTCTAGAAATATCCCTGGGCAAAAATAGGAAGTGCTTCCTTTTTTTTTCTTTTTAAATAAAATATAGAAGAATTCCACAGCATGGCATGACAAAGGCCATGTTGACTGGGGGATTCTGGATTTTGAAGTCCAAAAAAGCAATACTCCCTATCTCTGACTCTGGGTGTGCAAAGAAAGTGGCTGAATAGACAGGTACAATATTCAGGACTAGAAATCTAGTAATGTGTAAACAGATTAATTAATAACAACGGTAGCCAGATGATGTGTATTTCAAAAGATTCTTATCAATTTTTCTTGTGTTTTTACCTTTTAAAGACTAGGATAAACTGACTCTGTATTATAAAAACAAAAAATTACTTTTCTTTTTGTCATATGCTTATGATGATGGTCTTAATTATTTCAGCATTTTCTAGCTTTTTTCCATAACGTATTGCATTTATTGAAATATAATATTATTCACAAATACTTCCTTCCCTTTGTTTCAGTCAGTCAAACATGCCCCATTCCAACAGCAGTAATGAGTTATCTGCCGCTGCAAATCTTCCGCTCATCATCCGAGAACGGGATACAGAATACCAGCTGAACAGGATCGTCTTGTTTGATAGGCTGCTAAAGGTATATAATTCACAGTGTTTTGCAGCGAAACAAGCCTCGCTCGATTTTTCAGACATCACTACCAAGATTTATTCTTTTCTTTTTAAAAACCTCAACTGTGTAAGAAAAAATATGCTCATATATATATAGTATTGTGAAAACAAAAAATTCAAGTGGCATTTTAGCTATTATTAATAGCATTTCTAAAATGGCATGTCCCCAGGCATATCCATATAAAAAAAACCAAATTTGGAAAGAAGCCAGAGTCGACATTCCGCCCCTGATGAGAGGTTTAACGTGGGCAGCCTTACTTGGAGTAGAGGTAAGACTGAAAAGAACTTGCTTGCAAAATCCAGGGAGCAGTGACGAAGTCAACCTTACTCATTGGTAAGATTTGTCTTACTACAATTGATGCATGGAATATATAGACAGATACTTCCATCCAAACAAAGTGTGCTGCTTATATACCACCCCATAGCAGTTAAAGTGCTCTCTGGGTCGTTTACAATTTAATTATGCAGGCTACACATTGTCCCGCCCTCATGACCTCAGAAGAATGGAAGTTTGAGTGAACCTCAAGCTGGCTACCTGGTTTGGAGATCAGGGAGATGTTTCAGAAGCAAGTGTTCTCCAATGGTTGGTTGTTGTGGGGTTTTTGTCCATATTTGGCCATGTTCTGGTTGGTTTTATTCCTAACGTTTCGCCAGTCTCTGTGGCTAGCATCTTCACAGAACAGGAGCTAGAATTCTGTTTGTGTTCTGGTCTGTTCTCCAACACTTCAAACATTCTACCCTGTTTCCCCGAAAAGAAGATTTAACTTGAAAATAAGCCCTAGTTTGATTTTTCATGATGCTTGTAATATAAGCCCTACCCCAAGAATAAGCCCCAGTTAAGTGAAATCCCGTCCTCCACCATTGTGCAGCAACCAGAAGAAGATGTCATGACTGTATTTGAATAAATGTCGATACTTGTACATGAAAAAGATAAAACATCCCCTTAAAATAAACCCTAATGTGTTTTTTTGTGTGTTTGTTCGTTTTTTGTTTGTTTGTTGAGCCAAAATTAATATAAGACCCTGTCTTATTTTCGGGGAAACACAGTATGTGGGTTGGATTGTGGTTAATATAGCTGTTCACACATTGCTGGTTCGTTTACCCAGCCTCACAGGTGTTCTGCGGTTTGGCGCCCTGCTCCCTCCAGCAGGCACCCACTCGGAGGCAGTGTGCCCTGCTCCCTCCAGCAGGCACCCACTCAGATGCAGTGCCTGGAGGAGGCATGGCAGGGAAGCCAAGCCTGTCAGAGGGGGTGGGGCACCAAACCACAGAACTCCTGTGGGCCAGTAAATGAACCATGCTAAACCAATGGTTCGTGCCTTTCTCTACTGGGGAAGTATTGTCGAGCCCAGCCAAGGGGATAGAATATTGTAACATTGTTAGAATTAAATTTACCAAGAGCTGCACAAACCTTTTGTTCTAACATGCTACTATACAGTGCCACCCCCCAGAAAAGAGAACCAGCAAGTACTTGAAAGGTTGTCATGCAGAGGAGGGGCAGGATCTGTTCTCAATCATCCCAGAGTGCAGGGCATGCAACAATGGGCTCAAGTTAAAGGAGGCCAGATTTCAATTGAATATCAGGAAAAACTTTCCTAACTGTTAGAGCAGTAAGACAGTGGAACCACTTACCTCAGGAGGTAATGAGTGCTCCAACACTGGGGAGGCATTCAAGGGAAATTCAAACAACCACCTGGAAGATATCCTTTGATCTGTATTCCTGCATCGAGCAGGGGTTTGGACTCAATGGCCCCTTCCAACTTCACTATTCTTTGGTTCTGTGAAGGAGAAGCTGCCTTTTTCTCTGGTACTAGAGCTTGACTGCTGTTTCATCATTGCCAGAGGGTGAGGGTTACGGCTTGTCCTACTATAGCTTGACTGCTGTTTCATCATTGACAGGCCAGCCTTTAAATTGGGATGGCAATCTCTAGAGGACCAGTGATGGAAGAGGGTGAGGGTTACGGCTTGTCCTACTATAAGTGCAATTTAGAAAGATGGATGGGTTTGAAGCATCTGCATCTGTACATGATTCCTGATCTCCAGCTACGATGTGGATTATGAGCCTCTGAAATTCATATTGTGTTATAGTTTTGCCGGAATGTCCAGTGGTAGAACTTCATTCCATATTGTAGCGCATTCAGTGGTGTTTGCAGATACTGAAATAATACCTTTATGATATCTTGTGCCCTTTAGGGTGATATTCAAGCAAAATATGACGCTATTGACAAGGATACCCCAATTCCTACAGATAGACAAGTAAGATTTTTAAAGTGACATGCAGGTATTGCTTAATTATTGGACTGATATGGACAGACAGTAACATATGATTTTTAGTCCACAAAAGTGTTTCACAGGGTTTGTATTTTTAATCTGTAAGCTTTCCTGAGAAAGCTGTTATTGGCACAGTTTCATAAATGTGAAGTGGAAATTGAGAGGAGTGGTTGAAGTGTTATGGCTAACTAGGATATGAACCCAGGCTTATCTGTTAGAAACACACTGCCTCCAATTGCAAAGGCACAAACGCAGGGAAAGATCTCAGCTCTCTTAATGTTGCAAACTGCCCTGGTAGTGACCTTTTTTTACTTGTTTGTGGCATAAGACTATCACATCATGCAATTCAGATGTGAAAGTCCATTGTCTGGTGCAAACCATTGTAGGGGCCATAGTGTAGTTCCCAACCTTGTCAATCACATGTTAGCTCATCCCTTATCCCTACATTCATAAGTTTGTGTTTTTGTATGATGTTTATTTTGACCAAACTCTGGGAGGCAGTGGAAGACAGGAGGGCCTGGCGTGCTCTGGTCCATGGGGTCACGAAGAGTTGGACACGACTAAATGACTAAAGAACAACAAGATGTTTATCCTAACACTTTTTATGTTCTTGCTTGTACCGTAGATTGAAGTTGACATTCCTCGTTGTCACCAGTATGATGAGTTGCTGTCATCTCCAGAAGGTCATTCAAAATTTAGACGGGTACTGAAAGCATGGGTAGTTTCCCATCCTGATCTTGTATATTGGCAAGGTTAGTTGAGGTAGCTACTATGACTAGCTATTATACGTCTTAAGTGTATTGTTCCTTAACCAATCAGTAGTAACCTTTTTCTTACATGGTATTATGATAGAATAAGCTTAAGAAGTAATAATTAGCTTCAAGTGCTGTATTGCAGTCATTCATTCTGTGCACTTCTGTATGTATGGTTGTAGATGTTTGACCCTTACGTTATTTTTTCATTATTTTAGAATGTATAACTAGGCTAACTTTTCATAATAATGTATCAACATCTAAAAATAAGAATGATTAAAAGCTCAGTTTGTGCATGGATACTCAGAACTAAAACCTAGTAAAATCGATGGGCCTAATGTCTCAGAAGTGCATGTAAGGTTACCACAAATAGTTATTTTAAGACTGGCGTATACGTAGAACTTTTCTCAAGAAGGTGGACGTTACAGAAGTAGAAGGAAAAATTAAGCATCTCTAAAATTTTGACAGTGAGCAGCATCATATGTGGAACCTTTGAGAGAAACACGTTGGAAGTAATAAGTTTGTGTATGTAGGCAGAGGAAACTGATATATTCATTAATCTACAGTTTTATCTTCTCAGTATTGTTCTGTTCATATTTAGTACCTGGTTGGTATTTTAATGCGATTAGTGGATTCATTCTTTTTTTCTCTCTGTAGGTCTTGACTCACTTTGTGCACCCTTCTTATATTTAAATTTCAACAATGAAGGTATTTTTCCCCTCTCTTTTCTGATGAATGTACAAAGATAACTGTTGACGTTTGCTCCAGCTTCACCTGCTCCACTGCTAACTTCCCTGCATTAACAGGGGGTTCAGTAAAGGAGTTCCACTCATGGTCAGCTGAACATGCTTACAGAGTTCCACAAGATCAGAAACCCTGAATAAGGCAAGACCTCTGATCATAGAAAGATCTGTAATCACATTCAGCTGAATATGAGTAGATCTTCTTTGCAGACCTTCCCCAGCAGCATAGAAAGAGAATATAGAGAGTGTGGGACAAAAGTATGCATTCCCACCTCCCTTTCCACATTTATGTCTGCATAGGGCTTCAAAAGTCTTATTCAACCATTACGTCCACAGTTGTGAGGAGCTCTGATCTTGGGACAAACCACATGTAAGCAGATAAGGCAGAATTTTCAATGCAAAACTCTACAGAGACACTTGTAAGCCCTTCCTTAGTTGAGAATACACTTACAAGCACTTCTACAGGCCTTTTTTTCCAAACATATGAAGGCTTCCCTTACTTTTGAGTACAGTAGGAAGGTGAAGGTATGTATGTGTTCACTACCTGTTGAGTCCTTTACGTTTTCAGGTATGGTGCCTCGATTAAGGCTCCTGTCTCTTTCAATCAGAGATTGGATCAGAGATGATCAACCATGGCTTGTCAGATATTATGGGACTACAGTGCCCTTCGTCCCTTACCATAGGCCATACTAACTAGGACTGATGGGAGTAGCAGCCAACAGTATCTGAAGAGCTGTAGTTGTCTGTCCCTGGCTTAGAGCCAGGTAAATGCAATAGGTTTATGCTCATCCATCACAGTTCTTGTAGGTGCATGCTACATAGGGAATTTATAAATAAGTTATGTCACTATATTGCCTTCTGTGTTTATTTGATACAAAATTGTGGCAGAGCATATGGTGTTTGTAGCTGTTGGAAGAAGGCTATTGTGTCTGTTTGCCATACATCTGATAGGTTTGCTGATGGTCTTTTTGATGTCAGTTTGAGGATATTTTTACTCTGATGGGAGTTTTTACTGTACCGTATTTGCCGGTGTATAAGGCGACTGGGGGTATAAGACCACCCCCCAACATTCCCACTCAGAATGTAGAGTTTGTTATATACTTGCTGTATAAGACTACCCCCTCTTCCGCATGCGTGATTCTGCTTTGGCTGCATCATGGGGAGAGTTCCTTTTGCCCCTTTTGGTTCCTTTTCGGAGAGAGCCAGGGTTTGCTGGAAGAAGGAACAGCAGAGAGGCGGCAGCCATTTTGGAGAGGCGGCAGCCATTTTGAGAGGCAGCAGCCATGTGGTCGCATCTCAAAATGGCTGCCTCCTCTCTGCTGTTCCCTACAGTCAACTGTTCGGCGCTAGAGTCAGGCTGTTCCCAGGCTAGGAGCTGCTCTCTTCGGTCTTACTACCAGCTAAGTGACCTCGCTGGGAGAGAAGGAGGGTTTGCTGGACATGCACCTGGCGTACAAGATGACCCCCCCACTTGGAGGCATGTTTTTCAGGGCCAAAATTCATCTTGTACGCCGGCAAATACGGTAAATGGTGTAACTTACAAAATGAAGTGTTTTACTATACAAACTGGTGGTCATAGAAGTAATGTCTTTCTTTCTTATTCTATTTTAGCCCTGGCCTATGCCTGCATGTCTGCCTTTATTCCTAAATACCTCTATAACTTCTTTCTAAAAGACAATTCACATGTGATTCAAGGTGGGTTGTGTGTTTAAATTCTATTCTAATACGACTTAAAATGCCTTATTAGAAGTGTTTATCATTGTGTTTATAAAGTTTAACATCTATAGGCTTAATAGCCAGTCACTAATTACAACCAGAGTGGATCTACTGAAGTGCTGGAACTTACATGGGAGTTGCCTTAACAGTTTTTGATGGATTTAGCAGATCTATTCATGCTGGGACTAACAGTTGGATTCAGGCCATAATCAGCTGTTCAATGCAGAGGAGACTATCATAACTATATAGAGCACATACTAAAAAGTATGCTATTGTTACACTGGAGTGGCAGTGTGAAAAGGGCTCCCCCCCAAAAAAAACAGTGCAGGGGGGAAAGTAGCAGAATGTACTGCAGGTAACTAGAGAGGGGCATGAACCGCAGGGCAGGAAAGCCAAGGCACCGCCTCTGAGTGGGCACCCATTGGAAGAGATGAGGATGGGAAGTGCCAAACATTTGTTCAGATAAAATAAACCTGCACCAATCGGTGTGCCCATCTCTATGGCACCTTTACTAATTCAAGTCATCTGCACTGGCGTTGCATGGCTTCCTGTTAATGAAACCAGTTATAACCATTTTAAGTTATATTAAGTTAATAAGTTAAGTTTACATTTAAGTTACTATTGTGTATGATTTATCTTCACAATTGTGCATAATACTGTAACACTGTACAGTGGTGCCCCGCATAGCGAGGTTAATCCGTTCCGGATTAATCTTCGCTATGTGAAAACTTCGCTAAATGGAACAGGGAAGCCCAAATGGGCACAAAACACACCGTTTAGCGAAGTTTCCAGGGTCCAGCAGCCATTTTTGCACCCTCGGTAAATGAGGGGAGGGCGCAAAAACGCTGCACACGGCCATTTTGGGCGTCCGGCGGCCATTTTGAAACCACCAAACAGCTGATCTGCGGGCATCGCAAAGCGAAGATCGGTAAGCGAAACACTTACCGATCTTCACTATGCGAGTTTTGCCCATTGGGGCCGACGCTATGCCTCCGCATTAGCGATCTCTAAAACGGGATCGCTATGCGGATTTGTCGTTATACGGTGCGCTCGTTAAGCGAGGCACCACTGTACTTAAATGTAAAGGAACATGTAAGTATTAGAATGTATCCCTTTTCCTTATTCCTGCCAGTAATATTTTGGTTCAAAGCCACAGCTGCTTCTATTGAGTTTGGACCACTGGATTCTCAGTAGTGTGTATTCTGGCGTGATCTTTTTTCAAAGCAGGTCCTGTTTTCTAGCCTTGTTTTTAACTAGAGACTGAACTACAGCTGAACTGTAGACCCCTCCTAAATGATGCATCTTTCTTTCCCCCCCACCCAGCTCTGTGGGCTTTTCTGCTCACAAAACAAGTTGGAGACAAACAAAAATAGTGGCTGTAGAAAATCTATCCAGCTTATTTTACCGTCAGACATTTTTCATCTCCTTTGAAAGATCCTTAATAGTTCTGTAGCTCAGTTTAGAAAAGAACAGAAACAGGCTCTCAGTTCCTGGCACTCACATAGAAGCTGCTGTAAGTGTACTTCAAATAAAAGTAGCGACAGGAAGTGATTGTCTGAAGACTCGTGTTTAAAATCTTTAAGTGCAAAAACAATCCATGTCATATTTTTATAAGGAAGTAAATTGCATGTATTTGTGTGTATTTGCTTAGTGCAAGTAAGTCTATAAAAGAATAAAGTTGATGGGATTGATTTTCTAAAAATATAAGAGCAAATAATAAAAGATAAAGACTGTTTAGTTTGGAATGGATGTGTTTTAAGGTTAGTTTATAGTACCATAATTTAATTGTATGGTGTAAATACAGTGGGCCCTCTACTTACGGAATTAATCCGTATTGGAATGGTGGCTGCAGGTCAAAAAGTCTGTAGGTCGAGTCTCCATTGACCTACAATGCATTGAAAACTGATTAATCCGTAACCGGCCGTTTTTCCGTTTTTGTTCCATTTTGGTTTTTTTCTGGTCTGTAAGTTGATTCTCTGGCTGCAAGTCGAACCTACATTTTGCGGCCAGAGAAGTCTGTAACTCGAAAAGTCTGTAAGACGAGCTGTCTGTAAGTCGAGGGTCCACTGTAAGTAAAGAACTTCCAGCTCAAAACTCTTCCTCAATAGCTTAGAGATTTGCAAAGGAAAACAAATGTTTTTTGTAGATGGAAACACTACTGCTACACACCCTCTAGACTTGTAGTTTTTTCTGTTGCATTTGGACAATACAAAACTGAAATGGCAGTATTTCATTTCTTGCTGAGGGCCCTAGTGTAAAAATATGGATATAGATTTTGACAGGCCATAGAGCTACCTTTTTAAAGAGCTGTATTGGTGCCTGCCCTCAACCACTAGGAACCCATGAAATTCCCTTATTCTGAGTCAGGCCATTAATTTTATCAAGCACGTTCTTTTCACATTGCTCAGACTGACTCAAAAAGTCCTACACAATGTAAAGATGTTAATTAAATGAATCACTATTGCACTCCACCCTGGTGATAAAGACATGGGGCTAACACCATTTGTTAGGTCAAATTATACTAGACCTATTGAGTCAATGAAACTTACATAAGTGCTGCCTTGGCAAAAGTCTCATTGATTCAATTCAACTACTCTTGTTGGAACTAATAAGTGGATTCAGCTCATGGTTTTTTACATTTTCATGTTTGCAGTAGTCCTGGGAAAAAGTCACAATAGTTGCATAAATTATGCCAGTTGTTTGTCCAGATTCGACTTGAAAACATGTGTTCACAATACAGTGGTGCCTCGCTTAACAAGCGCACCGTTTAATGACGAATCTGCATAGCGACCCGTTTTTTGCGGTCGCTAATGCGATCGCATTGCAATGTTTAGATAGGCTGAACATCGCATTGCAATCATTTCTGCACCCGGCGGCCATTTTGGGAACAGCTGATCGGCGGTTCCAAAATGGCCACCAGGTGCAGAAAATGGCTGCCCGCACCATTTTCGCGCCCTGCCCTCGCTTACTGGGCAGCGAAAATGGCGGCCAGATCCAGGATTCTTCGCTTACCGATGAGTTTTTCCCTAATAGGAACACATTAAATGGAGTTTAATGCGTTCCTTTCATGTTTGCAGTAGTCCAGGAAAAAAGTCACAATAGTTGCACAAAATTTTGCTAGTTGTTTGTCCAGATTCGACATGAAAACATGTGTTCACAATACAGTGTTTCTGTACCCTTCTTGCTGAAAGCTTTGATTGTTCTCCGCTCTTCTAAAGATTGCATGGGAGATGCTAACTTTACAACATGGAACAGAGACATGGCTAAAGTCCTGTTGCTTAGTATGCTAAGCAACAGTACTAAGTGTACCAAGTTGTCCATTGAGTTATTGGAACTTACAAAGGCGTTGTCTCGCTAAATCTCCACTGATCCAATCGGTGTACTTCAGTTGGGTCTTACTACCCAAGCAAGATAATTTTAGCCAATAGCTTTAGTTTCACAGCTTTGTCCTTACATGGCCACAGTAAGAGCTTTTAAAATCCATTTGCATAGAAAAACGCAAGTCCAGCTTAATGTTTTATGACTATACAATATAAAATTAACTGAAGGAATAATTTGTGTCATCTTAGCCAGTGCTGTTTGGGTGAATCTGGCTTGATGTATTTTCATGGAAGGATGTCTGCTGTGAATAGACACCTAATTAACCATGTAATCCCACATGTCAGGCACATTTTATTAGCTTGGCTACTTGAATAAAAATGATATTTTAACAAGGTATAGCATATCCATGTAGAACCGCTGAAAGCACGAATCCATTGTTTAGAAAGTAATGTGCTTTCTAGCAGCTAATTGTAAATTAGTTTTCATCAGCACATTAGCTGAGTTTATGTGATTAGTAGAGTTAAATACTTTACCTGTGGTTGATGAATTTATTAGAAATGTAAGTATGTTCACACTTTCAGTGGAGAAGGCTAAATAAAGTGAGGAGTACTGAAGTGCAGAATGAAAGCCTTACTTCATGTTTTGCTGCAAAAATTAAAAGTAAGAAAAGAGGATTGTGATCAACTGTTCCTTTTAACTGACCCACCTAAGTTGCCAGTACTAATGGCTTGCAACTTGAATTATGGCTCAAAGGCCAGTTCTTTTGGGAAAGGGTTAAGGAGAAAAATTGTCAAGTTAAATATCAAATGAAAGGTGAGGTGTATAGCTGTCCTACTTTTTAATAACTCACATTACTTGTGTTGAGCCCTTGTCTGGATTTAGATTAGCGTGGGCAAAAAGGTGAGGTTTCACATTCACTCCTAACATGGTGGCCATTTTCCCCATTGGTAGGGAGTGGTCTAGAATTAGGAAGATAGCAGGGGATGGGTGATATAACCATAAAACCCCCTTCCACACATGTAGTAGTCCTAGTCTGACAGTTTCCAGGGAGTGGCCACATTAGCAACTTTTGATAAGGCTTATTCAATGTGGGCCATGGCTTTACTTTACCTAAATTAAAATTGGTGAGTCTTTAAAGTGCCACAAGACTCTTTGGTGGTCTTATTGTTTACATAATCTGATTGGCTGCAACTCAAACAGATGGCCGTAAACTGTGATTAATAAAACTGAAGAACCACAGTAAGCCTATAAGTGGCAAAAATTCAGTTTGAAAAGGAATAATTTTTCAGCAAATGAAATAAACTTCTGAATATCCTGTAGAAATCTTCCAGCTCTGCTGTTTTACAGGTAGACTATGCAAAATTTATATCTTCTGCAGGATTTCTGCTCCTCATTTGTTTGGTGTGTTACTGATTTTCAGTGAAGGAATAATGCAGACTCTACAAAACAAACTGCTTCTGGCCCTGAAGGTCAAATTCCTAGTCAAAAGATTTTCCCTTCCTTTTTCTCATTTTTGCAGAATATCTGACGGTATTCTCCCAGATGATTGCATTCCATGACCCTGAACTGAGTAACCATCTCAACGAAATTGGCTTCATTCCGGATGTAAGTGGAAACACTTCCAATAAATGTTTAATGAAGGCAGCTGGAGAGGGAAGCGGGATCAGGTGTAAAGATTTGTTGCCACATATCTCGGTTGAAAACATTTCATAACTTCATAACCTGAGCACAGCAGCCATGGCAATTAGCCTTGTACTGAAGCGGCTGCGCCACATAACATGCTGTCAGTTTCAAACCAGTGTGTCAATTAGTCCCTTGATATTTTCCACATAACTTCCAGTCACTCTTGCCTAGCTGAGCTTGATACTGTACATTGTTTTATGACACAGTCCTGTGCAGATTAATTTAGAAGTCAATCCCATTGAATTCATTGAGGTTTCCTTCCAAGCAAGTGGACATATGGGTGCAGTCCTAGTAGAAATTGACCAAGATCCAAGATTGGTCAAGATTGGGGCTTCACTTCTACTACAATCCCCCTGAAAAGTTCTCAACTTTTTGGTGCAGATTTTTAGACTTCACTGTGGACTGAAGAAGGAGGGGATAATTGATTCTGAATACAGTGGTGCCTCACTTTATGATGATAATGTGTTCCAGCAAAATCGCTGTTAAGCTAAATTGTCGTCAAGCAAAAGTTTAAAAACCCATTGGAATGCATTTGAAACCGGTTAATGCGTTCCAATGTGGGAAATATCTGCTCGTTTTGCATAGATCGCCCATAGAGAACCGCCGATCAGCTGTTCTAATTTGCTATAATGAAAGCTTCCGTCCGGAAAACACCCGTTTTGCGACAGGAAGGCATCCATTTTGTGAAGGGAAGCCATTTTACAATGAAGGGAAGTCATTTTACAAAGCCGGGAAAATCGTTGTCAAGCAAAAAAACGGTTCCTGAAGCAGGGACTGAATTGACGTCAAGTGAAAAAATCCCATAGAAACATTGTTTTGCGATGACGTCACGTGAAAAAAATCCCATAGAAACATTGTTTTGCGATCGCTATAGCGATCAAAAAAAGACATCGTACAGCGATTTCATCATCAAGCGGGAAAAAAGACATTGTACAGCGATTTCGTCATCAAGCGGGGTCATTGTCAAGCGGGGCACCACTGTAATAACAAAACCAAGTGGAATTACACCTTTGGATCTTGCAAATACCTTGGCTTAGTATTTCCAGCTTTGTTACAATAAGTTATTCACCAAAAAATATCATTGTGTTTGGATAGACTCTTGACAATTAACTCTTGCATTTTTCTAGCACCCAATTTTGTAGCCATGCACACATGCATGCACCCATTCCCTCTCTTCTTCAGCCCTCTCTGAAGTTATTCAACAAAAATAACTGATAAATTTCCAGTCCTATCTGTACATTTTTGGGCATTTAGCTCTCCCTACTTCCTCTTCCTCCTTTCTGCATCTGAAATTAGTGGTGTGGCAGCCCCTTTCAGCTGCTCATGTGTTGCTGCAATGATGTGGGATAATTGCAGAAATCAGTTTCTCAACACTATTGGCTTATATGATCTCATCAATTACTTTGCAGCAAGAAAAGTAAGGAAGGTTCACTTTTAAGGTAAAGAGCATACTCTCTTTCTTCATTGGTGCCAGTTCAACATCTTCCTTGGTTTTTATTTCCCCTTCCTCGCTGGTAATTCTGTAGGGACATTTTAAAAAATTAATCTACCGGAAAGTGTCAGATTTAACAAGAGGGATCCTTGGTAAGTGCCTCTGGGCTTTTTCCTTCACCCTGTCATCTCCCCAGAAATACAAAGTATCCTAGTTTGATTAGTTTTTACAGATTTGTCCGAACACAATGCCCACTTGAGTTGCATACACTGTAGGAGTATTGGGCTCAGTTTACAGACTCACACAATCTTTGCTATAAGGAGCTTTACAATCTGAAGACGTTTTACTGAGAGAAGTTGTGAAAAAATGTAACTGCACAAGAAACAAGTTATCTCCAAAGCAATATTCTCCATGCAAATAAGTTTGCAAGCCTACAATAAGCCTAACAGAAGTAGTTCTGCTTGTCACTTGGAAACTAAAATCTGCATTGTGTTTCCTTACCTGTGATTCTACAGGATCCATCAAGGTGAAGGATACGCACTTGAGCAATAATATGAACCATATTTTCATGCTTCAGTACTAATCCTATCCAACTGAACATTGATTAATCTTTCATGTTCCTGCTGGGAGAGAGATTATTTTTGGCTCTTTTCCATTGCTGTCATGTTACAGGGCTCTTAGAATATTGAATGCTACCAAATACCTAGTGACATCATGTCTTTGTAAAATGTGCTCTAAGTATTATGTACAGTTGATAGGGAAAGCAGAAGTAATTTTTCAGAATCTTTATATAATTTGCAAAATTGTTTAGGGCTGTGTATCTGTTGGTGTTCTTTGGATACACAGCCCTGAACAATTTTTAAAACTACCGATTTACCAGAAGTGGACATAACTGGTAAACCAAATTGCCCCCTGCAACCCACATCTACTGTGACATATTGGGGAATCATGAAAAGCACATTTAGACCATATGCAGTGAGAAGGATGGAAAGGAAAACTACCATTGTGTGACTGTATGCTCAAGCACACATTTACCAGTTGATCATGACATGAAAATAAACTACAGTGGTGCCTCGCTTGACAAGGATAATCCGTTCCAGCAAAATCGGTGTAGAACGAAATCGTCATCAAGCAAAAGTAAAAAACCCATTGAAATGCATTGAAAACCAGTTCAGTGCGTTCCAATGGGCAAAATACCTCAGCGTCCAGCAAAGGTCCTCCATAGGGCGGCCATTTTCCAGTGCCTGTATAGCGAGGAATCCGTCCTAAAACACAGCGGGGAGCCATTTTGTACAGCAGGCGGCCATTTTGAAAACCCAACGATCAGCTGTTGTGATCATCGTAAAACGAAAAATCGGTTCCCGAAGCAGGGAACCGATCATCGTTAAATGAAAAAAACCCATACAGACATCATTTTGTGATCGCCATAGCAATCGCAAAATACTCATCGTTAAGCAATTTCCTTGTCTAATGAGGTAATCGTCAAGCAGGGCACCACTGTACTCATAAACTAAGTGACTCTTACCACCAAAAGAAGTTGTGCCACTCATCATTTAAAGAGACTTATGAAAACAGGCCACCGGTTTTGGCCTGCCATAATATAGCTTCTGGATCTGTTTACCCATTAACCATTTAGCAAAGTTACTACTAGAATCCCAATCTTTTTTCTACAAAAAACTTTCCATAAACTAAATAAATTATATATATTTAACACCTGAAATGTTTTTTTAAAAATGTATGTACCTATATGAGAGAATGCTTATTATAAACTAGAAGCTTTTTCATATCTCAATAGTATTTATGCAAGATTAGGTGATACTTTTTTTGGACCACTAAAAAGAAATCACACAAATTGCAATCTTTTGTAAATAAAAACCTCATTTCTCACTTGTTTGGAGTTTGGGATGGGAAATTCAAACCATACTACTGTACAAGGGAGAATGCTTGAAACCACACTGCCCAGTTGACTTTAACTCTCCACATACAAGCAGACTCAGCATGAATATCTGCCATGAATTTTTGAGACTCGTAGTTTTTATGCACTTTCCTCAAAGAGGTGGTTCATAGGCTGAAGAAGTGAGTTTTTACTCATGAAAGCTTTCAGTTTGTGTGAATTTTTTTTAGTGGTTCAATAAAGGTATTACCCTACTCCTGCATCTGTGTATTATTTGTCAATAATATTTATTTATTTAAATTTTATATGTTGCCCACACTACCCAAAGGTCTCTGGGCGGCTTGCAACAATTTAAGTGCAGTAAAAAGATAAAACAATTAAAATGCAATTAAAATATATACTCTAAAAATTGCCATCAGGACCCACGGTTGATATTATTTCAATTAAAAACCTTCTGGAACAGGAAGGTTTTGACTTGGCACCGAAATCTCATCAGCATCGGCGAATCTCACTCAGGAGGGCGTTCCATAGTCTGGGGGGCAGCTGCCGAAAAGGCCCTTTGTCTACAAGCCGTCCCTCTTACCTCCTTGAGGGATGGCTTTTTCAGGAAGGCCCCCCGGCTAGATCTTAACTCCTGGGTAGGTTCATATGAAAGGAGGCAGTCCTTCAGGTATAATAACAATGATGTGCCATCAAGTCGATTCTGACTTATGACAACCCTTTTCCAGGGTTTTCCAGGTAGAGAATGCTCAGAAGTGGTTAGAACACGACTCAAATGGAAAATCGTTAGTTTTTTTTAACATAGCTGATTTGGAACAGTGGCCCAGAGTGCAGTTTGACCTCAGTTCAATTTTCTGTTCACAAATTGTTTTCTGACAGAAAAATTCCACCAAAAAAAAGTGAATGCAAGATTTGCATCACAGGATTGTTCTGCAGGTGCACCAAGTAAAGTAGCAATACACTGAACAGCAAAAGGCTCTGTGCAACTGTCTTTCTTCAATGGTAGACATGCCTTATTTTTGCCAAACCTATACGGGCCCCTTGCACAGACATGTAATGTGTACTCCATCTTAAAACTGAAAGCTGTGAAAATAGACTAGTATAAATTGAAACAGGACATTTTGGTGATACTTGAGTGAGACTGGTAGAGGGCAGTGTGTACTAAGAATACATTTCACCACATAGCAACAAAAGCTGTTTGCACTAAATACAAACTTGAAAAATGTTTGAGCCAGATTCTTAAATGTCCTTTTCTTTTGAGTTAAAAGTATCTGTTTTTTCTCCCCTTAAGACAGAATAAGACATAAAAATGATCGTAGTTTTCTTTATGAAATGGTTGGGAGGGGGGCTTGTACCTTTATGGTCTTTCCTGCTCCTTGAATTTTACGGATGAGATGACTGGGAGAATCTATGCACCACTGATTGCGATTTTTCACTGGAGTGACTAGTTTATCAGTAATATTAGGTGTACCTTAGTGATCAGCTCTGTAAAGGGACATCATTATCTCTGTAAGAAATGCCACTTATCGTAGTTTTCTTTATGAAAAACTGTGGTGATTTTTTCCCATGGCTGAAATTTTCTGTAACTGTGTTTTAAAAATGATTTCCATTGTATCCCAGGCATTGTAGGTAATGAGTACAATGCGAAATATTTTTAAAACAGAAGCGAAATATTTGAGAAACAAATAGCATTTGAAACAGAACTGTAGAGTGTTCCTTTGACATCAGTGACAGCCAGTATAGTATTTTATTTCAATTTTTTCTATATGTTGCATTTATTTACGACCTCTTCTAGTGGTAAGCTAGTGTACTCTGGGTGGTTTACAAGAGTTAAACACATACCTATGCCACTAAATCAAAAGACACAAATAGCAACAGCAGAACAAACATTAATATAACCCCCTTGACAGTCATATCTAAATCAAATGAAGTTTACACATGATGGGTCAAGGAACATCTCATATGGGGAGGATGTTTCTGAAAGCTTCTTTAAACAACTCCATTTTAACATGCCTCATGAGGGACAGAAGGCAGGAAGCTTAGAGTTCATCAACAGGCAGTGAGTTCCAAAGTGTTGCAAGCCTGCCCAATGGTCAGTAATAACAGGAGTTGGAGTCTGTCAACAGGAGTTTTCACTTCTTGTTTTTTTTAATATTTTATTGACAATCCAAAAGTAAGGGGGGAAAACAAATAATGGCTCAAATGGAGATATACATTGTCTAAACACAACATTATAGTATTCCAAAAGCAAAGGGGGAAAAAAACAGAAATGAAAAAGAGGGAAAGCATAGAAAAGGAAAAACAAAGCACAAGAGTGTCTACACATAAGGGTTTCCACTTGTGAGAACAAGTGTGGTGCAGTGGTTGGAGTGTTAGATTTAGACATGCCTCATCCAGACTGCCAAAGAATTGATGCTTTTGAATTGTGGTGTTGGAGGAGGCTCTTGAGAGTCCCCTGGACTGCAAGGAGAACTAACCTATCAATTCTAAAGGAAATCAACCCTGAGTGCTCACTGGAAGGACAGATCCTGAAGCTGAGGCTCCAGTACTTTGGCCACCTCATGAGACAATAAGACTCCCTGAAAAAGACCCTGAGGTTAGGAAAGTGTGAAGGCAAGAGGAGAAGGGGATGACAGAGGACAGAGATGTTTGGACAGTGTCATTGAAGCTACCAACATGAATTTGACCAAACTCTGGGAGGCAGTGAAGACAGGAGGGCCTGGCGTGCTCTGGTCCATGTGGTCACGAAGAGTCAGACACGACTAAACGACTAAACAACAACAACATCATGCAATTGGTCTCCACTTGGGCACCTCAGGTTCTCTCTCCCTGACCCACCTCATAGGGTTGTTTTGAGAATAAAACCGGGGATGAGAAGAACCATAACCAGTGCTTTCTGTTGTTTGAAAGAAAAGTGGGCTATCAAATGCAATTAGTAAATTAGTTCAAAGAAACACAGTTTCCTCAGCCCTGCTTTACAGAGCTGACAAACCTGTGTTTTTTTGAACTAATTTACTTTCTGGTGATTGACTACATTGTGGCAGCTGGGATGCATTAAATGTGTTTGTCCTCAGTCCTGGAAAACATTTCCTCCATCATTTTACCACACATCTAGATTCAGAAAGAGAGAGAGAATGCCTCCCTTCCATAATTTTTTCCTTGGATAGGAGTGTCTGTAGGTTAAGATTGTGCCTTGAAATTGGAGAGAGCAAGCAGAGAAGACCCCATTTTGAGAGTAGGGAGAGAATGCCCCATTTCCCTGTTCTGTAAGGGAATTTTGTACATTAAATAAATCGTGCACAAAATTTGTAATAAAAGGAGCAAATAGTGGAAGGCATACTAATATCCCTACACAAAGCTAAAACTATACTTTTTTGTACAGTTCTAGAAACGTAAGTTCAGATTTAGGTGTTTAAATTGCAGAGTTGCTAAAATGATATCCATAAATGATTTTTATCTGCGATCCTGAGAACTTTCTCACACTTCTTACAATAGAAGATGATAAAATTATGACATTAGTGGGATAGAAAATTTGCCAGCATTTGTTTTTAACAATATCTTACTTTTTTCCCCTTGCTGGTCTCATGTATAGCTGTATGCCATTCCTTGGTTTCTGACGATGTTTACACGTAAGTATGATATTTTCCCATTTTTTTTGCACAATGCAGCTTCATTTACTCTTCTTGATAGTATACACATATTTGCATTTTAACTAACAGAATGTCTAGAATTTCAAGAATTTAGGAAAATTACTTTTGGCAGTCTGTGATTCCTAGACTCTCCCAGCCACCATGGCCACTGGCTGAGGGATGCTGTGAATTGTAATATTAAAAGGCATATTTTCCAAGTTCTGAGAATTTAATGCAAGGGGTGTGGAAGACTTAAAAGCCTGTTATTTTAAATATCTAGGTCAACACTTTCAAACCTAGTGCCTCCCAGATGTGTAGGATTAAAATTCAAATTATCTCCTGCAATGTTCCCTCTAATTCCCCCCTTGTGTGTGTGACCCCACTCCACATGTGCGACTCCATCCTGCCTGTGCAGCTTCCATTGCAGCTGGAATCAAAGGGGCTGGAAATGATTGCTGTGGGTGCGTGGAGGAGGAAGAATGCTGTGTGGAGAGCGGTGGAGTCGCACATAGCCGTGCACCTTAGAGAGGGCACAAGAACATTAGAAGAGCCCTGCTGGATCAGGCCAAAGGCCCATCTAGTCCAGCTTCCTGTATCTCACAGTGGTCCCACCAGATGCTTCTGGGGGGACACTAGACAACTAGATACCTGTTTCCTGATCCCCCTCCTCTGCATCTGGCTGTTTGAGGTACCTTCCTTTTAAACCTGGAGATTGTACATCCCCATCATGGCTTATAACCTGCGGTGGACTTTTCCTCCAGGAATCTGTCCAATCCCCTTTTAAAGGCATCTAGGCCACATCCTGTGGCAAGAAGGTCCACATAGTAACAATACACTGAGTAAAGAAATATTTTCTTTTGTCTGTTCTCACTCTCCCAAAACTCAATTTGAGAGGATGCCCCCTGGTTCTGAGTGGGACATGGTGGCGCTATGGGTTAAACCACAGAATCCTCTGTGCTGCAAGGTCAGAAGACCAGCAGTCATAAGATGAAATCCATGCAACAGAGTGTGCTCCCGTCGCTTGTCCCAGTTCCTGCCAACCTAGCAGTTAGAAAGCATGCAAATGTGAGTAGATAATTAAGTACCACCACAGTGGGAAGGTAACAGCATTCTGTGTCTAGTCGCGCTGGCCACGTAACCACAGAAACTGGCTGGCTCTACGGCTTGGAGATGGGCATGAGCACCGCACCCTAGAGTCGGATACGACTGGACTAAATGTCAAGGGGAACCTTTACCTTTTACCCCGGTTCTGGTATTGTGTGAGAGGGAAAACAGATTCCCTCTATCCACTTTATCCATCCCCTGCATAATTTTATACATCTCAATCATGTCGTCCCCCCCCCAGGTGCCTTTTCTCTAGACTAAAGAGCCCCAAACACTGTAGCCTTTCCTCATAAGGGAGGTGCCCCGGCCCAGTAATTATTTTAGTTGCTCTCTTCTACACCTTTTCCAGTTCCGCTATGTCTTTTTTGAGGTGTGGCAACCAGAACTGTACGCATCACTCCAGAACCTTGATCCCCTGCCTGTATGGGCCAGTGATCACAGAGCTGAGGTAATGCTATGCAACACACCTGGAGGACACCGGGGACTAGAAGGGAACTGCTTTGTGGGACCCAATATTTTTTAAGCTTAAGTAACTATTTCAGAGAGTTTAGTAATGTGTACTTCTTTCTTTAGCATTTTCATCTTAAAAAATTTCCCATGCTGCTTTATGTCCTTCTCTGACTTTTACCAGTTCTAATTATTATGCATATCACAAACTTGATATGTGTACTTAATATTAGCTGTGTGCTGTCTTTCAAAGCAGTAGTTCTTTTAACCACACATGGATACTTGTTTCATAATGTGCAGGACACCATTCTTAAGATGGATCTCAATATTACAGTGGTGCCTCGCTTGACGAGGATAATCCGTTCCAGCGAAATCGCTGTAGAGTGAAATCCTCATCCAGCGAACTAAAAAAGCCCATTGAAACGCATTGAAAACCGTTCAGTGCGTTCCAATGAGTGAAATACCTTTTCGTCCAGCGAAGATCCTCCATAGGGTGGCCATTTTCGAGTGTCTGTGCAGTGAAAAATGCCTCCTAAAAACAGCGGGGAGCCATTTTAAGCAGCCGGTGGCCATTTTGAAAACCTGACGATCAGCTGTTATGATCGCCGTAATGCGAAGAATCGGTTCCCAAAGCAGGGAACCGATCGTCGGGAAGCAAAAAAAGCTCATTAAAACATTGTTTTGTGATCGCAATTGCAATCGGAAAAACATCGTGATGAAGTGGATTCGTTGTCAAGCGGGGTAATCGTTAAGCCGGGCACCACTGTATTTTACAAGAGAAATTATGATGCATTGAAAAGTTCAATAAGCTTTGTGGTTATTTTGTACATAATCTGCAGGGAATACTATCAATATCCGCAGGTGTGTGTAGTAGTCTATATACTTAACAAGGAGATTTGGGATGTATCTGTGGTATTTTTTACAGTGCATTGGTTAAATTGCTGTACTGTAGCCAAAACTGTTTACGGTGCATTGATTAAATTGCTGCCAAAACTGTGCTCATGACCTGGGGTTCAATCTTAGGAAGCCGGCTCAAGGTTTACTCAAGCCTTCTATCCTTCTGAGGTTGGTAAAATGAGTACCCAGCTCACTGGGGTAGGGGCAATGTGTAGCCTGCATAATTAACTTCTAAACCACCAAGAGAGTGCTTTAAATTCTATGGGGTGGTATATAAACAGTACACTTTTTCTAAGTTCAGTATAAACATTTTTCTAAAGAATTAATTCATAGTTGTTTCATAGCTGCTGTGTGTGGGGAAAGAGTGATACAAAGTTGTGGCATAAAAGAAGAATTTTCATGATGTGGCTTTAAAAAGAACTTTATAAACTAAATATTATTGAAGTTCTTGTTATTGTATATTAGCATAGCATAGGCATCCTTCAGTCTCGAGAGACTAGGTAACATGCTCTGAATCGAGGAGTGTCCTCTCCAGAGCAGGAAGCCTGGGTAAAGTAATATGGAGGATAGGCTGTTACCCAAGCAGCAGATCCCCCCTCTCCGCGTTGCTGAAATGGTCCAATGGAAAGGCAAGAGCCAATACAACTGGTTCCAGCAACGTCACAGGAGTTGGCAGAACGACACGAACTGCCTTTGGGACTCCAGCTCTGGATTTTGCCTTGAGGTTAACTTCTGAAGCCTTTTCCATGAATGGAGTTTTCCTTCTCCTAGATGGGCTGCCTTCCATGGCTGACAAGCCCCACCTACCCGGCTATTGTATATTGGGATTTTGATAAATAAGGGGCTGCAGTCGAATATGTTTACCTAGAAATATATTCAGTTTAGTGTATAGGATTATGTTGTAATGTTGATACAATGATAAACCTATCTGAAATTCAAATATGGCGAATTTGTCAGAAATCTGCATTTTAGCCATCTGTTCACATCCATACATCTTTGATTAGCTTTCCCTGTTCATTGATTTGGAGGAGTTATGTGTACTTTGTTTATAATCCAGTCATGTTGACATTACCAGCATCATGAATTCCTTTGCATGCTAGTTAATCACTGTGCCTTAATCCTTGTCTTTCTACTTGCATAGCCCTTTGTTCTCAGTTTCTGCCAAGAACATTGGGCTCAGCACAGGCCCTTTCATAAAGTTCCTGTCCACCATTGCAAGGCAATGCTAATAGATATAAAAGTCTCCAAGTACTGTAATTTTATTCACCTTTTCACCCTGTTACAATTGCTTCCTGATTGCCTTTGTTTGGCATGAAAACCCTGAGACCAATGATCTCAGTTGAGTAGAATCAACATTATCAGCAGGTTGTCTGATCAATGTACTAAGAGATCACATAAGATTTTTAGCCTTGCAAGATAGTAAATCCTAACTAATAATTCTTTGCCACCTTGCAGATGTCTTCCCTTTGCACAAAATCTTCCATCTGTGGGATACGTTGCTACTTGGAAATTCTTCCTTCCCATTCTGTATTGGAGTGGCTATTCTACAGCAACTGAGAGATCGACTTCTCTCCAATGGCTTCAACGAATGCATTTTGCTCTTTTCTGATTTACCAGGTATATCAAGCGCATCTTTATACTTGATTTAGTCTTGTTTCCATGTTAGACCACTTCTGTTATGATAGTTGTATTGTTCAGAACTTTGGTTTTCTGTATTGACTAGACTTCAGTTTAGTAATTCCATCATCATATATTTCAGCAAATTGATGCAAGTTCAGAAATGTGTGTAGGCATTTGCTGTCATGTGCAAGGTTACTGGTGTGTGATAACAAATGCCTATGTTAATTTGCAGCAGTTTGTATCTGAGATTTAGACTGATGGAGTTATACCACTGGCATAACTAATAGGATTCTAGCCATTAGCTGAGATGAAAATACTCGAGATAGTATGGATTGTTTGGATCCGAAGAGACATTGAATTAGCAGTAGCTAGCATTTGTTTGAGTTTTATGGAGTGTGTGGCAAAATTAGCTGTCTGATTTGTAAGGTTATAATAATGATGTAAAACTAAACTATTGGGGTGAATGCCAAAACGTAAGATCACACACTTGCTCCTGATAGAGTATAAATTAATCTGTACTAGCCAGATTCTACAGCTGGATACATCATGTACATCACCTGTCATCAGTCTGGTATAGGGGGCCTCCATCTGCCTACAGAGATTGAAGTTGGAATAGATGAGATACCCTCCCTACAGTTGTCCCGTGCTTCTAAAGTGTTTTAAGTGCCTTGAGTATCAGTCAGTCTGTTGTGACAAGATGAACCCTCAGCCTTCCTCTTGAGCTTAGATCTGTAAAAGATTAGGTACTTTGGAGGTATATACAGTGGTGCCCCACTGGACGATTTCTTGAGTATCAGTCAGTCTATTGTGACAAGATGAAGCCTCAGCCTTCCTCTTGAGCTTAGACCTGTAAAAGATTAGGTGCTTTGGAGGTACATACAGTGGTGCCCCACTGGACGATTACCCCGCTTGACAACGAATCCGCTTAACATTGAAGTTTTTGCGATTGCTTTTGCAATCACAAGACGATGTTTAGATGGGGGAATTTCACTTAACGTTGATCCGTTCCCTTTTCGGAAACCGATTTTTCGCTTTACGTTGATCAGCAAACAGCTGATCGTCGGGTTTCAAAATGGCCACCGGCTGTAGAAAATGGCTCCCCACTGTGTTAGGGACAGATTCAACGCATTACAGGCACCAGAAAATGGCCACCGTATGGAGGATCTTCACTGGACAAGCAGGTATTTCGTCCATTGGAATACATTGAACAGTTTCCAATGGTTTTTTAAAAAATTTGCTTGACGACAATTTCGCTCTACAACGATTTCGCTGGAATGAATTAACATCGTCAAGCAAGTCACCACTGTACAGCACTTCAGGAGTGAAAACTAATTGTAGACCCAGTAGTTTTTTTAAAAATTTTGCTTGATGACAATTTCGCTCTACAGCGATTTTGCTGGAACGAATTAACATCGTCAAGCGAGGCACCACTGTACAGCACTTCAGGAGTGAAAACTAATTGTAGACCTGATTCCATTGTTTTGCCCCAAGGCTATGGCATGTATGTGCAAGTCCTTACAAGTCACCTTAAGTACCTCTGAAGAGTGTAGTGCAACTGCAGGGACGATCCCCTAAACTTCTTTGAGCCCGTCCCTGTAAGGTTTTTGTTTTTTTTGCAAATGCCTTTCTCTTATTGCTGATATGCAAGGAGGCATATTCAATAGGGATGTGAGATGGGCTTTCTGAGTTACCAGTCTCAATCTCTAGATCTCATGCCACGCAATGTCTGCTCTTGCTCTCTCTTGCTTCTTGTCCCATTTTATTAAATCAGGCCTTTGATGTGTGAAATGGGCTATTGTCATTTCTTTTTTATTGATGCATTTCCATTGTTTTAGTCTGTTCTTTGCTATCATTCTATTTGTTTCTGTTCTGTTGCTGACATAAACCTCCTTCCTGAGGGGAAAAAAATGGGGATAAAATTATTATGAAACAAACAGGCATTTCCCTATTGTGGTTACCAGAAGAGTTTAAAAAAAAAACCCGATGGCTGAAATGTTGCTCAATGTAGTAAGTTTGCAGTTGAAATAATATAATAATAATTATGTACCATCAAGAAAATTCTGACTTCTGGTGACCCTTTCCAGGGTCTGCCAGGCAGAGAATATTCAGAAATGTTTTACCATTCCCTTCTTCTGGGACTGTGCAGCTTGCCCAAAGCCATACAGGCTGGCTGTACTCACAGGAGGCACAGTGGGGAATCAAACTCCCAACCTTTGGCTCCACAGCCAAATACCTAAACCACTGGACTACACAGCCAGCTTGCAACTAAAATAGGCCCATTGAATCAGTAGAACTTACAGAGAAGATTATTCGCTAAATCCTTACTGATTCAATGGGCCTTACAGTGCAGTCAGACAGGCATTTAACCTGCTCTTTGGAGCACTGCAGAGATGGGTTGGTGTGATCTTAAAGATGGCAGTTAGACATCTTTGCTAGAGTAAACCAACCCCCCACCCCAAAGCATTCCTACCCACACCTTTCTGGCCCCGGTCAAAAGGCTTCTAGCTTTTTGGTGTGGGTAGGATTGTTTTGGTTTATTCCTAGTGTCTCTGATCACTGGGAATGGACCAAATGAAGCCTTCCTCTTTCAATTTGCCACTATCTTGAAGCACCTTAATAAGAGGGTTGCTTCCTTTACAAATTCAACACTTTCTCAGCTCCCTATCTTGAAGCGCCTTAATAAGAGGGTTGCTCCCTTTACAAATTCAACACTTTCTCAGCTCCTTGGAAGTGTTCCATTTCCAAAGGCAGCGCAAGGAGGCACATGTGGACCCCTGTGTATTTGTGTGCCTGTGTATGTGTTGCCTTGGCATTTAAAAAAGTGCAGAGCAGCGGTGGCGGCAGGGAGAGTGGAAGAAGGATTTCCAAAAACAACACAGGGGAACTGTCTTTGGAGCGCTGAACCCTCCTGTGTCTGTGCACTCCTGTCTTTCTCTGTGGCTGGATATGTCTGGCTTTTTAAGGGGGGGGAAGCAGAACATCAGCAGCTGGAGAAAAGAGGTGGATTTTTTCCCAGTGGCTTTGAAAGAGAAAACAAAAATCCCCATTGGTGCTGCCTCCTGTTTCCTCCCACTTCTGACAACAAGCTGGTGGGACAACTACCTAAATGGGGGGACTTTAGCTCCATATGCCATTTGGATGCAAAGATCACACCAAATGGCGTACCAGACTTCCTAGTGACCCTATATAGCCCACTCCAACCTGCTTCAAAACAGGTGTGTAAGCAGGCCCTTATTACAATAGGCAGCATTTCAGTCATTGTTTCATTAATTAAAAACAGTTTGGTGTCTGATAGAGACCAGAGCTGTATATAATCTTTTATTCTGCCAGACACTTTAGGAACTGGTTTTAGTTTTGTTTGTTTGTTTGTTTTTTGGTGGGGAGGGGATCTTGTTGCTAGCTTTATTCTGCTTATGTGTGCCGTGACATTTTTATTCTCTGCTGCTGGTTTCATCTTCGTTTTATTTGTGCAATCTTCAGTAATATTTTTGCCGTGTATGTTTCAATACATTGTGTGCCACTAAGAGAACTCTGCCACTTGGATGGTCTAAAAGCGCTATAAATAAATAACTCTTGAGAACTAGTAGAATATAATCAGAATTCTAATCTGTAAGACTATATCAGAAGGAAAAGACCTCTGCAAGCAGTATGTGTGACCTCTTGACATGCTCTATTTTTCCTCCTAACCAAAGTGTTGAGTGGGTGGTTTGAGTACCTGGGATTGTGTACGACAGAACACGGTATGCTTTGGAAAGACAGATCAGGCCAACCCTGCTAACAATCATTCTTTCTAAGAGTGACAAGCAGTTTATCTTCTCTGAATTTCTTCTTGACATGCAGGTTTGTCTGAAAGTTAGGAGTAGGTTTCTGGTGTAGATTAAATTATGCAGAAAAGACATGTTTCTGAGCTCATGGTATGTCCTATTTATATATTCTTTTTACTGCACTTTTCATGAAACAGTTTGTCAGTAATCAGTCGTTTAGTGCACACTTTTTTTTTCCTTGTGAGCCATTTCTGAGACAGGCTTTCAAGTACTTTGCTGTAAAATTCTCCCTTGTTGTCACCTATGTGTCGTCTTAAATCGGTGGTTAAAATGCTCTCTGCCATTCCTATAAAATATGGACAGAAAGTTTAAAACGTCTCTTGCAGATTATAAAGTCTTCCCAAAGTTTGACTTTGCTGTTTCATCAGTTACCCTTTGCCAAAGCTTTTAGGTAGGCAATATGGGACTATTTCTCTTATGGCATTTCTAGTTGCTCCTGTTTTTCATGTCTCTCTATCACTGTGTAACAGTTTTATCAAACCAAGAAGATCAGTTATTGATTTTACATTGAAACAGACAATTGTCATTGTTTAGGCAACACATTTGTTTCTCCAGTTCATTAAACCTGCAGGAAATACATTTTTAACTAGTTTCCTTGTGGTGTGCAGTCTTTCTAGATAGATGGAAGTGATTTGGGAAGCAGAAAACAACTTGACCGTGCTTCGTTTTTTAACCATTGCCCATAAATACATATATTACAAGACCTCAGACTGAAGAAGCTACTTAGAGGAGCAGAGAAACATTTCAACCTAATAAGAACAAAGTCCAGTTGCCACGACTCACCTTCCAGACAAAGTCCAGTTGCCAGGACTCACCTTCCAGACAATCTCACCCAGATGACTGAGAATCTTCACAGACATATTAAAAATGTTTATTCCTGAACTTTCTTCCCAGAGCTTAGTGTGGTACACACAATACATCTGTCTTATACATGTGACTCTCATTCCAATAAACAAGTCAAAGAGCCAGATTAAGTTGTAAAAAACCAGGTATCCCTTTAATGATCCAGTAGTTTAACATACTAAACACAATAGGGAAAGAGAGCAACATGCCCATGAATTCAGATAACAAACTCAGTGGCTTAAACATCTGGCTGCGTAGCCAGAGGTTGGGAATTCAGCTCCCCACTTGTAGCCAGCGGTTGGGAATTCAGCTCCCCACTCTGCCTCCTTGACAGGGGCTGGAGACAGTGATCCATAGTGTCCTTTTCATCTCTGCAGTTCTAAGATTGTGGTGGTTGTTGTAACAGGTATCACCTGTCATTGTCCTCTGCGGTAACTGTTACAATGACCTTCTGTAATCAGACAGGTTGGATGTACTGTATTTCTGTTTAATAAAATTTAAAAAATTATGCATCTTCATAATTAAGAAATCATGCTACATCTCCCAATGTCAGAGACGACATACTCTCTGAGATCAAATGGTGGGCCCTTCTTTCTGAGTATGGTTGCAGAGACGACATACTCTCTGAGATCAAAAACAGGGTATATATTCCAGTTGCTAGTAATGGTGGGCCCTTCTTTCTGAGTATGGTTGTATCTCTTTCAGCTGTATAAAATGGAAGGGACCATATTTTTTATGCAGTTAATTAGCAAATAGATTTTTAATCCAGAACATACAGTGTGGATGTTCAAAATATTTACCCTACCTTTTGAGGTGGAAGATCTTATTTTTTCAAACATTCCAGAGTCAAAGTTATGTTTTCTGTGTCTGCCTAAATCCTACATGTCATTCACATTTGTAAGTAGTACCCAAAAGGAGGGATGAACAGAAACTTCGGTATTAGATAAAACCGCATGGGTCTATAAAACCATACAAAGCCTCTGAATCTGGGCAGCGTTCGACACAGATTGTAGATAGTCGTTGGATTTAGTTGTACAGACCATTTGGAATATGGTTGCATCCAAGATTACAAAAGCCTATAGTCTTTGATAGGAATTGCATCATGATGTTGAAATCCTTGTTTTTCAAAGGTAATTACACAACCTTACCAAATTCAACAGGCCTAGTAATAGTTCAGATGCATGAACTTGGTTTGTTTGTCATTTTACTTTTGCTACAGTAACCATGACAAGATGTACTGAGTGTGGGTTTCACTTTATGTTAATAGATGCTGTAATATCCTGTCTATGTCACATAACTGATATATAGCCTGGTTTGTGTCCCATCATCATCTTAGAACTGTAGAGCTGGAATGGCCCTATGGATCATCAAATCTAGTCTCTATCAAGGAGGCACAGTTGCGAATCGCATTCCTAACCTCTGGCTTTGCTTCCGGATATCTAAACCACTGAGCTATCCAGCATTTATTTTACTCTGGATATATTTGCATATTGCCTCCATGCTGTAATTACAATTTGCCATTCAAATAATAACCTTTACTTGAATTTGTAGTATAATCTTAATATGACTTGCACTGCTCTATATTATATGGAATTCCTGCTTAGGTATGTAGGAGCTTAGGAAACATGTCTTGTCATCTAGCTGGCATAGATAAATACAAATGTAGAAGGCATACTAAAAATTAAAAGTTAGTCTTTTAATTAAAAAAACAAATAAAGTATTTCTGCCATACACGAACAGGGTCACGGACCGCGTGGGGAAACTTTTGAAAAAACACAACCCACAAACAGTATTCAGGCCCACCACAAAAATACAACAAATGTTACAGTCAGCAAAGGACAAAAGGGATCCCCTCACCACTGCAGGAGCATACAGGATACCTTGCAGTTGTGGCCAGGTATATATTGGGACCACAAAACGCATCATCCGCATCCGAATCAAAGAACATCAGAGACTGCAGACTAAAACAACCAGAAAAATCGGCAGTAGCTGATTATGCCCTGAAACAAGCTAGACATAAAATTCTATTTCAGAACACAGAAGTACTGGACAACACCAGCAATCACTATGTTAGACTACACAGGGAAGCCATTGAACATGACTTGCACTGCTCTATAATTATATGGAATTCCTGCTTAGGTATGTAGGAGCTTAGGAAACATGTCTTGTCATCTAGCTGGCATAGATAAATACAAATGTAGAAGGCATACTAAAAATTAAAAGTTAGTCTTTTAATTAAAAAAACAAATAAAGTATTTCTGCCATACACGAACAGGGTCACGGACCGCGTGGGGAAACTTTTGAAAAAACACAACCCACAAACAGTATTCAGGCCCACCACAAAAATACAACAAATGTTACAGTCAGCAAAGGACAAAAGGGATCCCCTCACCACTGCAGGAGCATACAGGATACCTTGCAGTTGTGGCCAGGTATATATTGGGACCACAAAACGCATCATCCGCATCCGAATCAAAGAACATCAGAGACTGCAGACTAAAACAACCAGAAAAATCGGCAGTAGCTGATTATGCCCTGAAACAAGCTAGTCATTATTTGTTCTTCATCTGCACCTGTGTTATGACATTCCTTCTTTTTTCACTCCTGCATTTACACATTGATATGCGCTCTACAGAAATTGACATAGAACGTTGTGTCCGTGAATCAATCAATCTTTTCTGCTGGACCCCTAAAAGTGCAACATACAGACAGTATGCCCAGCATCTTAAACAAGCCAACGAGGGAAACTGTACAAGAAATTTTATGTCGTGTTTCTCATCAGACTATCAAGATGCACCTAGAAGTGACCTGGTAAGTTGTTGTTGTTGTTTTAAAGCTTAATATTTTACTAAACAGTAGCAAGAATTTAAAGGTGAGCAGAATGAACTGCCTTGCTATCCACATTCTCTTTTGCGGTGGTGCCTAATTTGAATAATTATGGACGATGGGACCCTTAAGTTCAACTTCTTCTTTTAAATTTATGCTTTTGTTAGTTTCTTTATAAGAAGAACATATCTCTACTCTTCTGCTATGTCTGTACTCTTCTACTGTAAAATCTCATGATGGTTTAATATAGGTGTGTGTGTGTGTGTAAAACACAAAAGTATGTTTAGTTTTAACGCCAAAAATGGCCCATTCTTGTCTCAGAGAGAAATTGTGTATTTACACTCATTAGTTTGGTTGGTTAGCAGAGGCAGGGACTACAGCTTTGCCTACAGTTAGTTCGCGTTGGGCATTTAATCTAGCCTGCTCTTGAAGTACACCCTGAAATCTCATATATACCCACTCATGTTGCTATAAATTGGAATCAGCTTGACAACACATTATTATTATTTTTCAAAAGCACAGACAGTCAAAACTATAAAAACACTGGTATTCAACATTCCCTCTAATTTTCAACTTCCACTCCTCGCATGTGCTACTCCGGCTCCCCCTGCATGCGATTCTGCCCCCCTACGGAGTTCCGGAGCAACTAGAACCAAAGCAGCTGGAAACTATCACTGGGGGTGTGCAGATGAACAGGAGCCGTGCATGGAAGAGGGTGGAGTCACACACACTTGCACAGCCGTGCACCTTAGAGAGAACCTTGCTGGTGTTATATATAAAACGTTTTAACCAAAAAAATTAAGTATCTGTTAAATATCAATGCAGTATGTTCCTAATATTGCTGTTTTTTGTAGCTGATGGTGTGATTTCTGAGATCTGCAACTGCTTATAATACTGTGTGAAATTTCTTGATATTGATATTGTTCCCAAAGCCCCAATGACTATGTTTCATCCACAAATGAGATGTTTAGATTTCCAGGTCTCTGTACTTTGTTAGTTGTTCCAATTCTTTATTTTCAACTCTGGCATTCCCTGGAATTGCGATGTCAATGATCCAGACCTTTCTTCATTTCATCACTACTATGTCTAGTGTGTTCTGTTCAAGGTGTCAGAAATCCCACAAGTTCTTGATTTCCTCATTTTCTAACAACTTTTCTACCTGATGTTCCCATGGATTTTTGGAGATTGGCAAGTTATATTTTTTGCATAATGAAGAGTACAGTAATTTTGCCACTCTAATTTTGTAATCTGTTTGTGCAATCTTTGGACTATTGTTGTATGAAATAAATAACCATTGGCTATTATATATAAAACTACAAAACATACACTGATGCTAACAAACACACATTATATGTACTATACAGTATTTTCGCTAAAATTCTGTTGCTTAGCATAGTAAACCACACTAGAGTAGACCCACGGAATCAATGGGAATTTGGTAAGTTACCTCCTCCATGAGTTCCATTGATTCAAATGGGTCTAGTTTAACTGCAACTTACTTAAGCATAGTAAGTCACAGTTAGAGTAGATCTATCTGAATTAATGGATAATATGAAGGAGTTGACTTACTGAATCCTCAGTGATTCAGTGGGCCTACTTTAATACAGTTTCCTAAAGCAGGCAACAGGATTTTGGCCACTGTCTCTTGCTTCTCAAGTAAAGTCTTTTAGTAAAGGTAAAGGTTCCCCTTGACAATTTTTGTCCAGTTGTGTTCGACTCTAGGGGGCGGTGCTCATCCCTGTTTCCAAGCCACAGAGCCAGCGTTTTGTCCGAAGACAATCTTCCGTGGTCACATGGCCAGTGCGACTTAGACACGGAACGCTGTTACCTTCCCACCGAGGTGGTCCCTATTGATCTACTTGCATTTGCATGCTTTCGAACCGCTAGGTTGGCGGGAGCTGGGACAAGCGACGGGCGCTCACTCCGTCACATGGATTCGATCTTACGACTGCTGGTCTTCTGACCCTGCAGCATACAAAGGCTTCTGCGGTTTAGCCCGCAGCGCCACCACGTCCCTTTTAGTAGAACCTTAATTTACTTATTTACTTGTACTGAAAGACTTTGCTTAAGAAGCAACACAGAATATATACTTAGCATTGATGTACCTTTCTTAATTTTATACTTAACACACAAGCATGGTTATTTATATAATAATGATATGCCATCAAATTGATTCCAGTTTATAGCCACACATTCCAGGGTTTTTAAGGTACAGTGTACTCAGAAGTAGTTTATCATTCCTTTTTTGGGAAGATGCTTTGGGACTGTGCAGCTTGCCCAAGACCACACAGGTTGGCTCTTCTCCAAGGAAACACAGCAGGGGAATCAAACCCCTGACCTCTACCTCCACAGCCAGGTACCCAAGTCACTGAGCCATCAGCCAACTGTGGATACCTGTGCAGTTTGCTTAATTGTTTTTACATTCTTTAATTACCTGCGTTAGAATCTTACTGTTCTGAAAGTTGAAGCTTATTTTTGTTCTGAATGACAATCCTGTTTTGGACAAGATCTGCTAGGAAATACTTTTTTCTATCTTTCCTGACTCCCCAAGCATTTTGAAGTTTGAGCTGTTCCATGGTTTGATGGCCATGTGACCTTTATTTATGTTCCAGTCCCATTTGGATCCTCAAATTACTCTGAAGAATGTGCCAATAAAAGTATTTCATCTTGTGCCAGGGATTTCCCCCCACTCCTCTTCTCCTACTGTTTCTGTTGAGCATGGCTTTTTATTTCTGTAACTGAGATTATTGATGCCTAGTCATAGAGCTTCTGAGCAAGCCTTCCTTCCACTGAAGAATAACAGCCACCGAGAATTCATTTTCACCTCCCATGGAATGTGTGCAATATTCTATTTCAGGAGGCTTTACTTTACTTTTATGTAGCTGATTATATACAACAAATTGGTTGTCAGTTCTGTAAGCAGATAACTTCTGTGTTGCCAGTATGAAAACATAGCCATTCTCACTCACTGCACTTATCTGTAAAAACTTCCTTCCTTCCTTCCTTCCTTATATGTTTTAAATATTTTTACCCTGCCTTTCTCCTTAAAAAGGACCTTTAGATCTGTTGTACAAATGGTGTCCCAAGGCCATGGTGATGGAAATAGAACAAAACCAATTAATGTTTTGGAGTTTTTTCTACACTGTCCTTGAATGACATTAATTTCCTCATTATAATTATTTTAAATCTTTTGACAAGAGTTCAATTTTAAAAGTACATTCTAGCTTTTATCCTTGAAACAAGTTTATTTTGATTTTTAAACAATGGGGAAGACTTGCCAAAAGCATAATTACTTGGAGTTCAATCCACTCATTAGTCTCAGCTAGGATAAAGCTACTAAATCATTGAGACTTGCATAAGCATTGACTTAGAGTTATAGATTCACCTGGTCTACTCTGCTTGAGATTAACAGATTTAACTTTGTGTCTTTAGTGTGGTGTGTCCCTGTCCGATACAATTGTTTGATACTAAGGGAAATATATTTATAAAACTTAAAATTTAAGGGGGAGGTGAGGTTAAATCTTCATTCTTCCTGGGGTACACTCTATGGGCTAAATGTTACTCTGAAGCAGCCCCATTGAAATGAACAAGATGTGCGGATCATCATTTATGGAAGTCCTGTTATGTCAGTAGTTCTGTCCTAGCTGGGATTACTAGTAGGATTTTAGCAATACATAAACCCTACTGCTATAACAGATTTGCCTATATGTTTTTCTGTATAGCACTTACTGGCATTTTGAGATCTTCTTAAAAGCCGTATGTATCCTTCTGACAGCCTTGTATTCACATTATTTAAAAATATATTACATTTTAGAAAAGAAATGAATCAATTGTTCTGGAGAAGACTTCCTCCCTATGAACAATTGCTCTTTCCCCATTGAGGATTCCCTGTTGCATAAATGCAAAGAACTGGTAAACAATGGCAACAGACATTGCCTTCAGGAAACCCTCTTTCTTTAGAAGGCAAGTCTTTTCAAGAGAACTCCTTGTGTACTTCATGATTCCCTTCATAACCCAACAAACCCTGAATCGTACCATTGTTTTTTCATTTATTCTCTGTAATTCCTGTCATGCCACAAACAATATTTCATTTCAGTGTAGGGATCATGTCTGAAAGCAGTTTACTTTTCTCTTCTTATCCCAAAGCAAAGTAAATGTTGAAGATATGTTATGCAAAGGAAACATAAATGCTCCTTCAACAATGGGATTCTTTTCTGTTTTGCTTTTTGGAGTGTATTTTTCTCCGTCCTAGCACATGCCATACTTCAAGAGGCATGCTTGAAGTGGCTTCATTTCTTCTCAAGTGGGAAATAATTGAGGTTTCTGAGGCCTGACTGCAGCTTCTCAGTTTATTGTAACAAAGTTGACATGAAGAGGGAAGATAAACTGACATTCCTCTAGGTTTGAACTGTAAGGGTCTAAGTTCTTTGGATAACTGACTCTAGAAGAAACTCATTCTGTTTATTTACTTTTGCTTTCTTTGCTGCACCTCTAAAGCAAAGATGAGGCCCTTCAATACCCTGAGCAGAAACCAAAGAAAATTGCATAGCCCCTAGGTTTTGACATATTTGTCCTTAGTTTAGTATTGTCTATACTGGCTGTTTTCAGAGAGGTAGCTATGTTAGTCTGTTCAGCAAAAACAAAAAACAAAAGTATTGTGTTACTTTTAAGATAGGTCGTATCTATTGGGATTTCTTTCCAGTGTAGTGAATTCTTTTTGAAAATTTGCTCTGTGAACTGACTTTCAACTTAAGGACTAGGGTGCGAGAAGCTTACTTTTGGGGAGGGGGGCATATAGGTCCCAGCTGGTGTGCTATTGGCTACAAGATCCTTAGAATGGTTTTAAACTGTCCCAAGCTCCGGGAAGGAACACAATTAGATGGCAGAGTACTCGCTTTGCCTGGTAAAGGTGCCCACTTTTTAAAGAAACTTAAACTCTTCATGTCTGTTGAATAGTCCATAGAGCCACTGTCAGACAGAGTAGAAACAAAAGCCAAAGTATTGTGCCATCTTTAAGACAAGTTGTGTATGCTCTGTCTCAAAATTGCTAAAATGATCGGCAGATTGACAGCAGGTAGTAGGCAGGTTGCCAGGATGAAGAACTTCATGCTGTTACCAAGATTTCAGGTCAACAGTTGGTGTTGCAAAGGGGCCAATTTAAGGAAGGGATTATGCACAGAGATCCAGGATAACTACCATTTCCTTGAATTGTGCTGCCCATATTCTGTTTCTGCATCCTTCATACTTTCCTTATAGCTAGATAACAGCAGGGGCAATGAAGCATCAGCTGGTACTCCTCAGGGAGACGTTCTTCACCTTCAATTGCTGAGGGTTTCGTGTTAATTCTTTACATAACTTACCTGGAACAGTGTTTCTCAAGTGTTTTGAAGTGGGACCTGACCATAAACTTACTCAACCTTTCAGGACCCACTTGTAACTTAAACTACACCTTTCAAGCCCTTTTTATCAGAAGATGAAAGAAGAGCACCTCAGCTGTTCACACCATGCTTACTTAAGAATGCAGTGAGGTTCACCTTTGAGTTGTGACTGACAATTTGAGGAAAATATGGTTGATACACGGAATCGAATACTGAAGTCTGACATTTTGTTTCCAGAGGCAGAAGAAAAAATGAGCCCCCATTTCCCCTAAATCCAAAGTCCAACTGAGTTGGCATTTCAGTGTGGATTCACCCACCCAATCTATCAGGAGAAATGGAGGGGTGCTGCCTTCTTGACCCCAGCATTTGCCAACTGCCTCACTTTATGAAATGGTAGGACTGGCCCTGAGAATATAATACTATATTCTGGCCAGAATCCTGTTGCTTGGTTGCACCTGCTGAAGGGAAGTAGTGAAACTTGTAATAGTGTCTTGCTTGCAATTAGTGAGTCCCCACTTGGATTTTGGGTCATGCTCACCCACTAGCTTGACGCACACCTGAAAATCCAAGTGAAGATTTATTAATTGCCAGTAGGATGCTGTTTAAGAGAAAGTGTTAGATATATTCTAGTAATCTTAGCATAGTTTTATTCTTGCTTAAACAGTATGTAGATTTTAGTTGAAAAAGATGTGGGCCTGTAGAAAAAAAATAATTGGTAGCAAACTCTAATGTGGCAGAGTGCTGTTTCCAGAATGTTAGTGCTTTATTTATTCCTGCACTAAAAAAGCTATATATTTTATACCAAAAATAGCTTGCTTCATCTCTTAATTTCCCGGTTGACTCAAGAAATAATTCTCAAGGGTTCTTCTATTGGGGAATTACAATGCTATCAATCATATTGAACAGTCTTCCTTTATTTCTTCCTGTGATAAAGCTGAGAAGCAATATCCATGAAAGGAAGAAGGCTAGCTGCTAATATAAGCTGTCCTAAGTGTGAGGCCATTTGTTTTGTTCTGATCCCCTTGGCTGCCACATTTCCTTTTCCACTCTTTTCATTAACTTATTTTGGATGGGTGTGCATAAGAGCAGCCAGACCATTGTTTTTCAACTCTGATTTATTTCCTGTAGTAATGGAGAGATTATCTAATGTTTCTACTGCGTTGAGTAAGATGTAGTCAGTGAGGCTCCGTGAAATGCCCGTCCGTAGTTCCCAAAGGAAAATCTTCCCCATCACGATTTGCAGTCACATGAAGTTACATTATTTCAGACAATAGGGATGGAAAAAGATCATATCAAACTTCTCATGCAACAAGGAACACTTGCCATACACAGTCCAGAGCCCAGCTATTGCTGGTGATGTCAACTAGTGTCTCAGAACTAGCAAAATGCCATCATCATGACTCAGGGTGGGAGTAGGTTGAAGAACTGGGCCTGTTTAGTCTTAAGAAAAGAAGACTGAGAGGAGGCATAATAGCACTTTTTCAAAAATTTGAAAAAAATTGAAAGATTCATACAGAAGGGGAGCAGGATCTATTCTTCATCATCCCAGAGTGTAGGACGTGTTAATAAAGGGCTAAAGCTACAGACAGCCAGATTTCAGCTGAATGACAGGGAAAAAACTTACTAACTGATAGAGCAGTACGACAATGGAACCAGTTACCTCAGAAGGTGGTGAGTGCTCCAGTGCTGGAGGCATTCAAGAAGAAATTGGGCAACCATCTGTCAGATCTATTTTGATTTTGATTCCTGCACTGAGCAGGGGCTCAATGGCCTTATAGGCTTCTTCCAGCTCCATTATTCCATGAATCTTTAAATGTTTGGCTTACAGTTCCAATCAGACTTAGCTAGTACAGCCAATGTCTGGGCACTGAGGGAGCTGCAATTAAAAAAAAAACAGTTGCAGAGGCAATGTAATAGAGGAAGGGGTTGTATTTTGGAAGGCCTCATTGGGTTTAAACTGTCTATGTGTTCAGTATACTATATGCTAGTGTGTGTGCATGATTGTGTGTACCCACCCTATTGTAGCCACTGCCAGTGACAATAAGTCTATCCTTCGTCCATGATGGGGGTAAACCTTTGCTTGTAAAACCAGATGGTTCCCAAGTGTAAGAGATGCCATGCCTTTTTCACCTCCAGCTCTCTTGCCACAGCTTCTGTCTCCTCTCTCAGGCGACTCCGCCACTCCTTGGCTTCGGTCTCTCCCCAGTAAGACGGGCGGGGCTGTTGTCCTTGACGCCTTCTTCTCTCTGCCTCCTTAAGGGGGAACCTTCACTTGGTCCCATTTCCCTGTCCATGGATCTTGGACCCATACCATTTCCCACCCCCCCGGGATCTCATCCCACTTCTCCTTCGCCTTCTTCTCTCTGCCTCCTTAAGGGGGAACCTTCACTTGGTCCCATTTCCCTGTCCATGGATCTTGGACCCATACCATTTCCCACCCCCCCGGGATCTCATCCCACTTCTCCTTTATATCCCCCGCTCCCGCCTCTATTTCCCCTTCCCCTTTTCCCGCCAAATTTCTCCCAGTCTCCCCTGTCACTTTTAACTCTCTCAGTGCCTGTACCAGGTCACTGGTATCCACCCCTTTGTGTTTCCACCCCTCTTCTCCTGTTATCTCCTCCAGTTCTTTGGTATCCACCTGCTTGCTCTCTTTCCTAGATGGAGAAGGTGGAGGGGAGGTCTGGGTCGCCTGAGCCCGAGATGGGAGCGACGGCACTGCCACGTAAGCTTCCTGGCTCTGGCTAGGGGTCTTACAGGGCACTGAGGGAGCTGCAATAAAAAAAACAGTTGCAGAGACAGTGTAATAGAGGGAGGGGTTGTATTTTGGAAGGCCTCATTGGGTTTAAACTGTCTATGTGTTCAGTATACTAACACTATGCTAGTGTGTGTGCACGATTGTGTGTACCCACCCTATTGTAGCCACTGTCACTGACAATAAGTCTATCCTTCGTCAATGATGAGGTAAACCTTTGCTTGTAAAACCAGATGGTTCCCAAGTGTAATTCTTTGATTTCTTGTCCCTGATTTCAGAACATATCATGTTCATTACAGAGTTCAGAAAATGTACTTTTTTGAAAGCAACTTCCAAAAATACCACCCAGCCTGCTTGACCACTGACTAAGTTAACCAAAGGATTCTGAGTGTTACAGTTCAGAAAACTAAGGCCAGTATCCTGTTGCATAGCCCGCCTTTGCAGCAGGAGTAAGATCGCCAGCCAGAGCAGATTGACATTTGATAAAGAGCTCATATTTCTAATTTGGGGTACAAATGATAAATCACACAAAATGACATGAAGTCACACTGAAAAAATCAAAGGAATGGTTTAATTAGCAGTAATTGGCACAACTAGTGACATCACTCCCTTTACAAAGACTGAACCATGTAACAGGTTATTGACCTAACTTTTCTAATACCTGTCTACTTCCTAATTTTCATGTGTCACCCTGGGTTTCTGTTTCTTAGTCATGCTAGAATGTGACATGACTTTGACAACCTGGAAGTTAAAAGGAAAGAAGGAATTCTGACTGCACAATTAGTATATGCCATTAAAAGGTATACTTCGGTTTGTAAACTGTAAGCATGGCCTGGTTTTAAAATTTAACTTGGCTGGTAGCATTTTTACAGAATACTTTACAATGCACCTTCAGATAATAAAGTAATGGAGCAGAATTGTGATGTTGAATATGAAATAACTTTACATTTGTTGTGTAACAAATGTTTCATTACCAAATTTCCACATCTTAATCATCAAGAAACTAGAAATAGTAGATATATAGCAATAGCCATTCCAGATCATTGAATGTTGTTTTTCTTTTATCTGTATTTAAAAGTCTAGAGATTCTATCAAGTTGAATGATCTGAAATCAGAAGTCTCACCACGGATTTCAGCTGAAGATTTGATTGACCTGTGTGATCTGACTGGACCTAGCTATTTCAAGACCCCAACGAAGAAAACAAAATCCAGCAAGCCAAAGTTGCTTGTCGTTGACATTCGTAACAGTGAGGAGTATCCTTCTAAATTGAGAAAATCTCTGCTCAATCTTCTCTCCAATCTTCATTTAAAAGACAATTATTACCGCATTAAAGTTAAAAAGAAAAAGGATGAGTAAAGTGAGTTGAGCTATGTAGTATTAGATCCCCACTGGGAACCTATATGCCTTATAGCCATATTTATTAAAAGACTATTGTTGTTAGTCTGTGGAATTCCTTGCCACAGGATGTGGTGATGGCATCTGGCCTAGATGCTTTTAAAAGGGGATTAGATTTCTGGAGGAAAAGTCCATTGCAGGTTACAAGCCACGATGGGGATGTACAATCTCCAGGCTTAAAAGGAAGGTGCCTCCAAATGCCAGATAAAGGGGAGGAGTATCAGGGGACTGGTATCTAGTTGTCTTGTGTGCTCCCAGAGGCATCTGGTGGGGCCCCTGTGAGATACAGGGAGCTGGACTAGATGGGCCTTTGGCCTGATCCAGCACGGCTCTTCTTATGTTCTTATTTATGTCGTTCTTTTTCAAAGAAATGAAAGGTATTTACAGTTCAAAATCAACAATGTCATAGTAAGATAATTCAACATAAAGGTGGATCTGCTTATACAGAATAATGCTGCCAAATGTAGAAAGTGTGATAGAAGATGCGTGCCTCGCATCTTCTCTCAAAACTCATCAAAGAAGTTCCTTTCTTCACCTCTTCATGCAGGAGGTTCTGCAAACGTATAGCAGTTATTCTAAAACTCAGTTTCCTATTCAATACAAAACTGGCACTTTCAGTAAAGGCCACTGAATAGAATTCAAATGGTGAGTGGGCTCATATACAGAATGATGATCCTTAAAGTAACCCTAACCCTAACCGTATTTTTCGCTCCATAAGACGCACCTTTCCATAAGATGCACCAATTTTTTAGGAGAAGAAAACAGGAAACATGGCAAAAACCCACAACAACCATCGGATCCCAGCCATGAAAGCCTTCGAGAACATTTTAGAGATTTACACTATCTCCTTGAAATTAACTCAGAATTAAGCTGGCAACCATTATAGGTTGAAAATGCTCTCAACTTCTGCCAACTGTGTTTATATAGTGAGTAGCATTCTGTACCAGCTGACGTTTCCAAGTTGTATTCAAGAGCAGTCCCATTAGGGATGGTGTAGAAATTGAGCTTGGAGGTCCCACAGGCACAGGGTCCTTTGATGACTAGTTATAGATAACAAAGAGCTGACTGACCTCCAGCCTCAGGCCTGCTCTGTGATCTCTTTCACATCAAAATTAGAATTAGAATGATACTTAAACCTTGAAGTACTTCTAACTAGTCATCAAAGACCTGCCCCTGGTCCTAAATCCACATTCACACATGTTGGTCAAGGGAGGGAGAGAATGGGCTAAAAATAAATCTAAAAAACATTGAGGGAAGAGTGGTAGAATTAGTCAGGCAGAAGGAAGGTATCTTTGATGATGTCTTTAAAGATATTCTAGAGGTAATTTGGCAAAAATTGTATATCAGTCTGCCTCCTTTTAGGGTTTCTTGAGTCTTCCATTGTAGCTTGGAAGAATTAGAAAAGTTTTTGAGCCATAACTTATATAAGTGAACTGTCAAGGTTTGAAAGTATGCCAGAATCCAACCCTCAGCATGTTCTGCTGTTTAACTAAAACAAAAATGATCAAAGAAGCATGAAAGAACAACATTTTTTTCCTGTATATTTATTAATTTTACGCACCAGTTCAAGTTTTCAGTCAATCACAGGCTTCGTTCTCTAAAACATTTGGCTCTTCACTACAAATCTTCTGAGACTTTTCCTTCGGAAATGGTTTAATTCTGTAAGCTAGAATCATTTATAACAAAGGCTTTTAATTTTGCCTTCTCTCCTTGGCATGTTAGAAAAAGAAGAGAAACACCAGCAGAAATATAAGCAGGTTTGCAAGTAATAACTTGGTCATTAATGTGACTGTTCATTTTCAGGAAAAACTGGGCTTGTAAAATTAATAAGCACTATATTATAGGATTTGGTGGACCAAGGTTGGATTTTAACAAGTCTGTGGAACACTTAGGCCAGTAACTACACTGTGCAGAACCAAAGTTTTGTATTTAGATTTTTTAGTAGCCCTGAACTCCCTTTACTGAATGACAGCATTTCAAAGACAACATTCATTCCTTGTACTTGGTGTGCTTTTTGTCCAGGACACCATGGGCTGTTGCTTTCAGCCCAAACAGAGATCTATGTGCTTTCTTCAAGACTAGAGGAAGGGAAAAATGGATGAACAGCAAACTTTATATTTTGAAAAATAAATAGGACACAACCACTGCTTCTTTGTCTCAGGATTTTAGCTATAAGATGACATCTGGAAGAAACTAATTCAATCAAATTTATTTATTTAGTCATTCATTCGTTCATTCATTCATTCATTCATTTAAAATATTTTTACCACATCTTTCTTCTTAAAAGAACCGAAGGCGGATTATAATTAAAATACAATATTTAAAAGCTAAAACAGTGAATATAAAAGTATTAAAAAGAATTAAACAAGCATTATATTAAAAACTTACAAAAGGTATGTAAAATAAATAGCCATAATGCTATGAGTTATGCCGGTGAGTGTCCTGACACACATCATAGGACCAATTTCCTATAAGCTTCCCATACTATACATAGTACATTTTCTTCACCTGAAAGATTTATTTGCATTAGCATCATAGAACAGACTAAATTGAGTGGGGAATTTATGCAAACCCCATCAGCCCTAACCAGAATAGTCAGTAGAGAGGTATGATGGGAGCTGTAGTTCCGTGGCACTAGTTTCCCATCTGCAAATCTTATAACTGCAGCATGTAGACTTGTTCTGTATTTCTTTGTTTTCCTTCCTCCCCTTTTTCTTTTGCTAATTCACAGCCTGAAGAAGAATTCACAAGGACCCTAAAGCTTATTCACTACTTTCCCATGCTTTGATTGGTTTGAATAAAGGTATTGCCTATATGCAAACAGCTTTTTTGCATAGCTTTTTCTACTGTCTTGAGTACGCAGACTTGTTACTAGCTAGCCATACTATGTTTCCAAACCAAAACCCAAATCCATTGTGCTTTTTTCAGCATAAAGCACTTTATTCATATCCAGTGATTCCATCTAGGATCAAGCTGGAATCACTCATTGTGATTATTTTTGTGGCGATATTTGCTCAACTTCGTATGTCCATATTAATTCCCAACTATTGTTTGGCACATCCATGCCTATGTACCAAGCAGTTCAGGGAAAAAAAATCAAATAGGTAATAACAACATTCTTACACGAACACAGGTTAATAAAAATTGCACATTGTCACTGGCATTATGTTCATTTTTAAATTTTTAATCTTTCAACTTTTCATGGAACTTTCTGTGCGAAATTGCACTTGGAAGCTAAGGAGTTACTGATATACCATATGTTGTGAAATCTGTGATGTTTTTTATTTTCTTTTTTGGAGACAGTTTTATAAGGTAAGACTTCCCACTAAAGAGATAGCAAAGTCTGGGCCTTACTGATAAAAGAAAGATAACTTCTAAGTGATGTTTATGTTTGCAATGTAACGGCAACAGTTTTACAGAAGATGCAGTTCATCAGATATGTTTTAAAAATACTGGCAGTATTCTGCTCCTTTTATGAAGATGTCAGTGAAATTCTTTATGGTCCTTTAACTCCCCTGCATAAAATTCTAGCTCTTTCGCTTATCTCAGCTCTGGAATGGGTAAGATGGTCATTTAAGATTAGAGGAAATGCGAAAGACTTTTGAAAGTAAGCATAATGGTATACTGCGGAATTGCTTGATACAAAAATTAATGCATTTGTCCTTATTAAGATTGTTGTTTGTACAGTTGTCATAGCCCTCCTTTTACGTCCAGCACGGAGCATTATAATACTTACAGTGAACCCAAAGAAATACTGGTCTGGAAGTCTTGTAAGAGATAAAATTACCCTTTCAAGTTACTTGGATATGCCTGCTTTTCCCTATATTTTTAGAAAAAATAATAGTATTGCTCTCATGTTTCCCATGGTATAACTCGGACAGTCATCCATATCAATTCTGTGCAAAGGAATTCACTCTAGTATTCATTTTAGATTACATGTAAAGCCTTCTGAGGCAATTTGTGCTAGAATAAGATACAATTTTATAGTGATTTAAGTGAAATTTAACTTATTTTGAATCACTGCACAGTAGCTGTCAAAGATAGCTTTTATATACACCAGATTTTAAAAGAAAAGTAGAAGCTAAGAGAAGGACAGAATCCTAAATGCATCGGTTCAACGACATTCACACAGGTTCAGGAAAACCTATTACAATAATAGTTGCAAATAGAGAAGAACAGAAAAGAGTGATCTCTTTGTGACGGGGTGAACATGCCAGGTAGCCAGCTTGCTCACGATGAGCCGTTGGGCCCCTTTAAGATGGCTGAGAGCTCAACTAGAGGAAAAGGCTAAGGCACAAGGAAAGAGGGAGACAAGGCAGTTGGAGGAGGTGGTGCAACTTAATAAGGGACTCCTGCCCAAGGTGGCCATGAGCACATGAAAAGGAGTGACCACAGGCCTTTAGGAGGTTGCTGATCAGCCGGAGAAGGGGAAGCAGAAGGCGAAGAGGCCTGGGTTGATGCAGAAGAGGAGCTGCGTCTGCTGCCTGAGGGATCTGGGAGAGCTGTGCGATGTTCCTCCCCTCAAGAGTTTCATACTTTTGTCATATCATTGCAAAAGGCCAGGGAAGGTGGCAGGAAGTATGAAAAGGAGGAAGACCTAATATGAGATAAGAAAGATTGGCTCAGTAAAGGAAGCCAGAGCCTTTAGTTCAAAGGATCTGAGCAGGGAGTGTTAATAATAAAACATTGCGGAAGTTATTAATTTATAAGGTCACCATCCGTCAGGAGTGATTTGCCATTGCATAGCGAAAAGAACACTTGTTTCAACAATAGCAAACAAATGCAACCTCCCCCACACTTATTTCCAGGTTTTAATACTGTAATTATGCGAGCATATCAGAGCAACCAGGTCAACTGTATTCCGTCTTGATTCTCTTAATTCACAGCATTAAGACATGCAAGATCACGAGATATCAAACTATGACAAGCCTCGTGTCACTACGCAGTGTGTCTTTCTCTCCTTTCTCATTCATTTCCTTAACAAGATCCTTTTCTCGTCCAGTTTTAATCGGGGGCATATCTCAGGCAGCATCAACATCCCATTTGGATCAGCCTTCACTGCTGAAGGAGAGCTTGTGCAATGTCCTGCTACTGCCACTCTTCAGAGTTTTAAAGGGAGAGTAGTGGTGGTCGTAGGGCATGTAGCAAAGAATGCAGCCTTGGTAAGTGTTCTTCATGTCCTCTGTGTTATTCAGGACAGTAGTGGCGGGTAAGTAGCGCAGAGCAGAGCTCCATAATTTTCTGTATAACAGTTTACAGAAGTAACCAGTGTAGTGCAGCGCTTAAAGTGTTGGGCAGTTACTTGGCTGAAAACTCACCAGGTGACCTCATACCAGCCACTGGTTGAAATCCTGTTCCTGGAGCTATGCAGCATAGTCTAGTGGTGAAAACTTCACCCCCTGGCCTGGCAAAAATCGCCCCCTTCTATTGTCGTGCTCTGTGAACAGTGTTCGCTTGCTGATCCCGTCATTGAGCATTGAATTTGCATATGTGAAGTTGCTGTGGGGAGTCTGATTGGAGTTACTGACATGTCCATCTAAAAGTCAGTCTGTGCATTTCTGTGTCAGGCTCACCACTCATACAGCTACTCCTCCAAGTATTATTCAAATCCTATTCCATAAGACCTGTATTAAACTGGTTCTGTTTTACACATAGAAGGTTGCCATTTCGGTTTCACTAACAGCAAAAATTTGAGAGATCATGAGATAAGCTGTTTTTATAATTTTTTATTTATTTATTTTCATTTATTTTTTTATTAGTGGGGGCATGATTGAAGCATATGCTTCTAGTACAGTTGGTTTTTTTTAAAAAAAACTTTCCTCTTGAGGTTGTGTTTTACTGGTGTCTTTTCCTGCTGTTAACTGTTTTATTAATCACTGCTGTTTTTAATTGTGTAATGCTTGCATTTTACAAGCTATTGTAAACTGGCCTGGAAATTTTAATTGACAGAGCCGTGTTGAATGTTTTGTTGTAAGCATACATTAAACCGACCGATAGCAATAACTGCCAGCAATATGACAAGGACCAAACTTGTCTGGGTTGTTGTGATGGTTTAATTTGTTTCCTAAGGGAATTTCTGCACTGGAGTTGAAACATGTTTTGCTCTTCTTTGATTTGCGTGTTCTGGTACCTGAACATATTTGAGTAGAACTAAAATATATCTAGAGTTTATGCCATGGCTGTCTGAAATCATTCTTGATAGCTTTTAAATAGGTGGTTTATGTCTGTGAGAAGTATCTCTATTTTTTTAATGGTGCAGGCTGTCTAGTAGCAATTCCATGTATGAATGTGGTCTCTTAGCCCTGTTGCCATTCCATACATTGCTTAAAAAGCTTCTTTTCTTGAATACCCAGACCAGTTTTCAAAATATAGAGGCTACTGTTGCAGACAGTGTATTGATTAAATGGAACTGGCCATGTTATCAAATACATCAGGGAAGATTGTGAGATCTTCATGAACTAGTGGAGTCTGTATTGCAGTTTTGAATTTCTGGTAAAATTCCTTTTGCTACACAGTAGAAGCACAAAGATCCACAGATGATAAAAGCTACAAAGTTCCAGGAGTCATCCTGGATGGTTCCAGTGGCTGATAAGAGCTACAAAGTTCCCAGGAGTCATCCTGGATGGTTCCAGTGGCAGGTTGGTAGTCACTCAGATACTCCTTGATCTCTGCTCCATTCATTCACTCCACAAATCCACTCAGGTTTATGTTCAGAGTAGCCAAAGCCTAGACCAGGATAGTGCCCCATTTGCTCTAATGGATCAGATTCACTGGAAAAGACAAAGCAAAACAAAGTGCGCTACTTATATATCGTCCCCCTAGCACTTAACACACTCTTTGGGCAATTTACAGTTTAATTATGCAGGCCAGACACAAGCTGGGTACTCAATTTACTGACCTTGAAAGGATGGAAGACTAAGTCAAGCTCGAGCCAGCTATCTGGGATTGAATCCTGGTCATGAGCAGTTTGGGCTACATTACTGCAGTTTTGGTGCCACAAAGCTCAGACAATAATGTTGGAAAAGGTTGAAAGCAGCAGGAAAAGAGGAAGACCAAATATGAAGTGGACTACTCCTTAAAGGAAGCCACAGGCTTGAATTTACAAGAGTTTACAACATGTCCAGAGGAGGGTGACTAAAATGGTTAAAGCTCTGGAAGCAATGTTCTACGAGGAACAGCTTAGGGAGTTGGGAATGTTTAGCCTTACAAAAAGAAGGTTGAGAGGGGACATGATAGCCATTGTTTAAATATTTGAAGGGGTGTCATGTTGAAGAGGGGACAGGTTTGTTTTCCAGGGCTCCAGAGACTAAGACACGGAGCAATAGTTTCAAACTACAGGAAAAGAGATTCCATCTGAACGTTAGGAAGAACTTCCTGATGGTCAGAGCTGTCCGGCAGTGGAATAGACTGCCTCGAAGGGTGGTGGAGTCTCCTTCTTTGGAGGTTTTTAAGCAGAGGCTGGGTGGCCATCTGTTGGGAGTACTTTGATGGATGTTCCCGCATGGCAAGGGGTTGGACTGGATGGCCTCAGTGGTCCCTTCCAACTCTATGACTCTTTGATTCTGTGGCTCTGTCAATTTACAAGAGCTGAGTAGAGCAGCTGAGGACAGAACGTTTTGGAGCGCACCCATTAATAGGGTTATCATAGGTCAGAGGCAACTTGACATCACATAATAACAACATCCACCTGCCTCTCTGTGTACATATATATGTGTATGTGTGTGAAAGAGACCGGATACCCACTTTTGCCTCTGGTTGTACCTGTCGCCCCAGCTCTGCTGTGCATTCTGCCTCACCAACCAAAATGATCACCAACCACCACTCTGGTGAACTGTTCTTGTATCTCACAGTTCTAGTCACATTACAGTGTGTTTCCTTCATAAGTGCAATCAAACAAACATGAATTCCAAAACTGAAGAACCTGTGGCCCTCTGAATATTGTTGAACAATAGTTCTCATTTGCCCTCACCAGCCTTGCCAGTGGTGAGATGTGGTCCTAATTCACCACAGTGGAGGCTGGTGCTTATTGTCATTGGTGGGGCAGAGGGCACAGGAACTGGTGGTGGCCAGATTTAGGTGTGAGGTAGAAAAAGGACAGCTTTCTTGTAAACAGTCTAAATGCACAGTCTGCCTCTCACCTTTTTGTGAAATGGTGAGATTGTCCCTTTGTAACCCAGAAACAATCCTCTTAATGTGAAAAAGAAGATCTGATTTAACTTCATTAATCTGTCATCAGAAATAATTAGCCATTCCTTTCTCAGTTGCTCTGGGAACAACATTTTCTTGGCCGTAACATTGGAATCTGAGGCCAGAAAGGGTGATTATGGAGCTAAATGAACTTTTTACCCTCGTATGTTTTTATAGCTGTCCATGGTTATGGCAAGTGAACTTTTGGTCATTATACCAATTTATTTTGGCCTGTAAAATTTATTGAAATCTTACTCTTCCATTGTCTGGAGCATTTCCCCCCCCCAATGTATTATGCATATTACTGTAGCATAATACTGCACTAAATGCAGTTTCTGCTAGTGAAAAGAAGCCAGAAGAGAGAGATGGCTAATCAGCTCCAAACAAAAAGTGGGTTAAGATTTCACAGGCTTTGTGCAACACAGTGAGGCAAATATGACACATTTTTGGCCTAAGCCCATGTCTCCCTTATAAGACTCTTTCCCTTATAAGACTGGCTTGTTTTCAAATGTGCTTGGAGACCCTTCAGTATGGGACAGATTATGTGGCAGATAGCAAAAGAATATTGCATGGGTCACAACATGGAGAAACTAGCATGGGAACACGTTTCAGTGCAGAATCATCTGAGCTTCTGAGGAGTCTGTGGGCCAATCTAGTCACTACACTGTGGGTTGCCACGTATCTGCTTTCTGGTAGCACTTTTCCATCCAATTAAATCAGCTGCTGAAGGCTGGGATCAGGAAGAGAGGAACAGCAGGAACTCGTTAAGTTTGTCAAAATATTTCCCCAAATTGTTGGGGAAATATTTTTCGCTCCTGAAGTTGAGGAGTGTGAGGAGTGTATACAGTTGGAGAGAGTTAAGCAGCCCTTCCATTGCCATTCTTTCGCTTTAAATTGCAACTTGCTATAACTGTTGAATTCTACATATCCAGGAATCTTGTTATTTGATCAGCTGTTAGAATCATTGTAACATTTTTTGTCAGATTTCTCTGCATATTTCACACACACACACACTATCGGTGCTTGAAGTATCAAGTGGTAGGAAGGAGGGAGATGCTACATATAGTTTATATACGTATTAGTCTTTCCTTTGTCTGATAATAATTGCTATTTTATGTGATTTAGATAAAGCCTTGTAAACTCTCCTATCTCATTAGCTGAACATAGCATGAGGTACTGAATTTTAAAAGCACACATCTGTTTATTATAGCAAGATACATGGCAGGGATTAGATTTTTCTACTTTGAAAGGCTGGAAAAACTTTTATAAATATTTCTGGATTTTTAAATAAGCAATCTGATTTATAAGAAGTGTGTTTAAATGTAAAGATATTAACCTAGAATGTTTTTCTCTTGACCCTGCTGACCACAGTAGTCTTATCTTTATCATTTTTTTCAATCTACTATGTGAATTAATGGAATCTTTAAACTCCCTTGTACCTGTTGGTTTCCACTTGACGTTATGGAGTGGAAAGTGTACATTCCTTGCCAGTTCAGTATGTAAGGAATTTTTTCCTTGATGTTGAGTGAATAAAAAGTGCATTCTTGCCATACTCTGTTCCTTTTTACTTGTCCAACTCACTGTCTTAATATGTTTGGGGTAGTTCTGCTTTGAACTCTAGACCACAACTAAGAAACATTTTGTATGCCTTCATGTTCATACGAAGATATTTGCTAGATGGCACTGTTGAATAAATAGCCATTTGCAAAAAAATAGAGTCTAAGGTGGCCCTCCAAACACTGTTGGTCTCAAAGGACAATTTTCCCTGGCCATAGACCATATTGGCTTGAGCTACTAGGAGATGGAATCCAGCACCTTCTAGAAGGCTACCTCTAGTTCCCTGCACCAGAAGTAGGACATCTTAAACATTGTCTAAGCATTTTGCATTTTATAAGATTTAAAATGTATGAAAATCAACAAATGCCTCCTAATTGCCATTTGCTTCACTGAACGCTCAAGATAGCGTTACATGTTG